CTAGGCTCCTATAGTAAATTAAGTTACGCTAGGCTACGGTCTAAAATACCGATATAATACTAAGTCTACTATTTAGTACTATTAAGAATAGTCTATATAATTATAAAATAGAAAAGTTCTATAAATAGTAAAGTTAGTGTATAAGCCTATAGTACTTAGGTACGAGCCTAGCGAGCCCACAGCACTTAGGCTGAGCCTAGCGAGCCCATAGAAATTAAGGTTTGCCCTGTAAGCTCATGATAAGCATCTGTTGCAGCCTAGCGCTGCGAGCCCACGGTAGCCTAGGGCTTGCTGGGCTGCCCGGTCTAAAACATAGATGTAGGTACTAGAGTGTCGACCAAGATAATAAAGGGAATATATAATCGTCGGACTATATCCTAAAACGTAGGTCTAGGATTACTAACGAAGTTAACTGCGAACTATACTATCTAGGTGAAGGAGCGTGTATATATAATACTTAAAGTGCTGCTTTGGTGCATTGCTGCATTGTTCCAATGCATCAATGCATTAATGTATCTCCCGGTTACGTGATGTAGCCTCGTTCTCCATCGGCTGACCTTCCTTAAACTGTCCCTTAGAACGTGGGGCGCCTGTCCTGGCGACCTCATCCGTGGCCTGGTCCGTAACATATAGTCCGACGATAGTATTCTCTTTATTATTACTAAGTTATACCTCTCTAATTACCTACTCTATTAAGGAACCCTATCTTAGTTAGAACTATTCGTAGCTCGGATTATAACATTAACTTCGCACGAGAAAGGTTTAAATAACTCTGGCCGAAAGTCCTCTAGGATGTTAACACTAGTATCCTTATAGTCGATCACTAAATATCTCTTACTTTTAGAAACTCGGGCATAAAGCGCTATATCGCCCTCCTTAGTGAATTTTATGGCGCTCAGGAAGACAGCCGACACCAACTTTATTAGGTCACGTTCATCAACGAATATTGTCTCCGGGACCTCCTTTAACGACGTTCCACAACTAATTTGCGAAACTAGGTATCATCATGAACAACGAAATAAATGATTTCTCGATTCCAGGAACGTTAAATGCTTTCGGCTACATGCCATCTCGCTCTAGTTACATCTAAGCAGGAAAGAGACCGCTATCCTCCATAACACCCACGATCTTAGAATTTCCTAATGGGACAGTTTATTATGTTATTGGCGCAGCTGGAGGGTCCCGTATCATCATATCAACAATCAAAAATCTGATTCATGTTCTCGATCGGAATATGACTATTTGTCAAGCTCTGGCTCAGCCTCGCCTTCACGATCAACTCATTCCAAACCAGGTGGCATTCGAGTATGCTGAAAATAACGAGACAGTGACGTTCATGGAGTCGCGAGGTCATATTGTCACCTTCATCGCTCCCGGTTAAAGCTCCGCACAAGGGTTGCGCAGACTATCGAATGGAACGTTTGAGGCTGCTGGAGAACCTCGCCAACGCAACAGCAGAGGATCTGCGATATAGACAGGGCTTACAGGACAAGAGTTGTAGTCCACTAGAGGGTAGCTCGAGTCTTTCCACATCAGTCTGCAATGTGTGAATGAAAGTACATCCTGTTGCAGCGCTCTACGCAGAGGTTCAGGAATGAGATCAAGGCTCTACGCAAGCTTGTGGCAAATTGGCAATTCAATGACTGAATACCAAACATCACTCTAATGGATTAGGCCATTGGAAGCGAATGTTTTTCTTCTCCAAACCTGCTGCGACGATATCAATGCCACCTGATTTTATCATCCATTCTAACCGATGATCACGGTATTGACGTATCAACAAGCCATTATTGAGCCATTCTGCGAGCGGAGCTGGTGTCTTGGTCGCAGCCAGAAATTCCTCGAAAACCGACTTCACAGATTCCCGCCCCTTAGCCCTCTCATACCAGTCTCTGAGAGCAGTGCCTGGTTCTGGTTCCAGACCGTACGACGTTGAACGGTTGATCACCGGCCACCCAGAGAGATCCGCCCAACCGAACTTATCACCTCCAAACCACTGAGCATCACCAAGCTGCTCCGTCAAGCAAACGTGTGCCTGCTTTATCTGATGCTTTGCTTGCTTTATGATCTCTTCCGCCTTTTCGTCTTCGGCACGCTTGAATGCTTTAATCTCACCCATAGCCCAGTTGATCGGCTCGAATTGCGAATCGCAAACATCCTCGATCATACGTGCTTTTGCTCGCGCCTTCGGATCAGCAGGACGAGGCGGAACATCGTGGTATTTGTCTTTGATATATTCGAGAATGATCGTCGACTCAAAGACATTAAAGTCTCCATCCATAAGGGTAGGAATTTCCCAGCGATGATTGCATTGAGAGAATTTGGATCAAGATTGGTGAGGATTCCAGTCCCGCCGCCTTTCGGTGGCCCGAATTTGAATGGTATGTTCTTTTCCCTGAGGGCAATGCGAACTTTCTGCGCAAATGGGCTGACTGAGTGGTTCCAGAGGAAGGGTTCCTTAGTCATCTTGCAGTCCAGAATATCGTCGCCTAAAGGTGTGACAGGAACTCTATTATTCGAAAGTACTAGTGGCCTGAGACTGCAAACTATTGCGACATCAGATGCTATACAGCAAGAGACGGTCCTCCCCATCTAGTATCAAGCCTTACATCCACAGCAGTATGGCTGTCCGGAATGATAGCTCTCGCTTTCTTATCACGTATTCGACTCACAACTTTTTTTCCCTGCTGCTTTTCCGGCCCTTTGATGGACCCACATCGCCGATTGTTAGGCTCTCTCATATTCCAAGTGCGCCGTGCGCCGTGCCTCTTGGAACGATTTTGAGACACGGCTCTTGTATAAGATCCCCGCCCCCACCAAAGAACCGGCTTTGATTTCGTCTCGAACAGTGTGTTCGGAAAACACCAGAATCAGTGGGTACATGGCAAATTAAGTGAATAACTCGGCCCTCCATCTAGATCACCCTCCGCGGGTCTGAGCATGCTCACCGCGGGGTATCTCAAGGTAGCAACGCGATCACTCCGTGTAACTGAAGGACACGGAAAAAGGTCCTCTGAAAGTCCAATGCTTGTCATCACCGTCCGGGACGTAAGCCATGCTCGTCGACATTTATAGCTGGAAGTGGTAAGGATTACAACCCAAGAACCGGGTTCTTCTTGATTTGTTCTTTTCTTTTTTCTTTCATTTTGTTGATATATATACGTCTATTAGGTGATCTTGACGCCGAGGACTCGCACCTGCATTCAGTGTTTCAAATCTCACTATTATACCTCCAAGTATATTGAAGAAGAGGAGATATCGTTCACCATGATGGACATTACCAACGGCGAAGATCCCGCATCACCTTTCCGAACTCCAATTATCAACATAACCGGACACAACGCTGAGGGCAGAGCAATTGTACAGGAAGTAATCAACGAGCCCCTTCAGGCATACAGAGGAATGAACACAAGACACACCCTTGTATGGACAGGAGCATTCCCTCCAGATCTCAATGACGATGCAGACCTCAAAGACTTTCAAAAGGCCAAAGCACGGAATGAATTAGCCATCGTCAGACCAGGCGGCGTCGTCTGCCGCATTGTGGATTTTGGCCCTAATAACAGGGTCATGATGCACCGGACACAGAGTCTGGACTTTGGCGTCGTCATGAATGGCACGATTGAGATGGAGCTGGATGATGGTCAAGTTACGACACTGACTGCGGGAGACGTGGCTGTTCAACGTGCCACGATGCATGCGTGGAGGAATCCTAGTAAGACGGAATGGGCGAGGCTGTTGTTTGTTCTGCAGGATAGTAAGCCCTTGGAGATTTGTGGACGGAGGTTCAAAGAGGATTTGGGTACCCTTGGACATCAGGTTTTCCCAGATAGTGGAAACGATGTATAAGCCTGGTTGCGGTGATAACTGGAGAAGATGAATGCGATCAAGTTGTACTAGCACATTGCTTCCAGATTGCTTTGCTGCGAGGCTTCGCAGATACATGGCTTGTAAATGTTGTGTTAGATACTCCTTGTATGCCTCATAGAGCTTGCGAAAGCCTCTAGCATAGAAATCCAATTTATCATACAGTCGTATTTTGGCCGTGTTTCTCCGCAATCGTAGCCCTGCTGTATTGAGGAGCTCATGTACGTTTCCTACTTAGTCACCACGTGCTTCTTACTATCCTGACTATGGTACCAAGTACTTCCATCACGAGGAGGAACAGTTGGTTCGAATACGAGCGGCTCAAACTTCGGTAGGGGACGAGGATGCACATGTTGCTGAACAGTTCCGCTTGGACCCTCTGCGATTCCGTGTGGAGTGTACTTTTCGCGGTTCAGCATGCCCAGCCGGCGAACTGCTTTCTCTGTGGATCCCTGGTCGCACAATACTGACGAGTCGGCTTCGAGAAGTTCGCCACCAAGGAACGACCTCGCAATGTGTTGATCAATCACAGCATTTTCCGTGTATCCACAGTAGGCTTTCCACAAAAGCACAGAAATTAAACTTTGAAACTCTGTGGGGAGCTGTCGAAATCCTGCTTCGCAGAGAGGCGGAGTTATACAATGTAGATATATGTTGTCACTTCTTCCACGTGCTCGGCAAGGGACAAGGTTAATCACACGTTTCATCTCTTCTCAGGACTCGTTGTGTCGCCCAACATGGGATCGAATTACATTATCAAGAATGCGACAGTCTTGTCGATTGACCCTGCGATTGGCAACGTCGACAACTGTGATGTGACGATCGAGGACGGCCTCATAACTGGGGTTGGACGTAGTCTGAAGCACACCGATCACAAGGTTATCGATGGCACCAATAGCATTGTCTCACCTGGTTTTATCGATACTCATCGGCATACCTGGCAACATCAGCTAAGGACCATTGCCTCTGATTATGTGTTGTCGGATTATATCCTCGCTTTAAGGCATATCTATGGCGCCTCCTATACCCCACACGATGCCTATCTCGGCAATCTCGCTGGGGCACTCGAATCAATCAACAATGGCATCACGTACTTGATCGACCATTCACACATTCAAAATTCTCCCGATCATGCAGATGCCGCGGTAAAGGGTTTGCAGGACGCCAAAATTCGGGCGGTCTTCTGTTATTGTATGTACGCAAATCCAGCCTGGGAAGGCTCTCACGTCAATAAGGAGCGTGAAAAGAATACGCCAGATTGGAGGCGTGACGATGCTCGGCGAATCAAGGAGACGCATTTTGCGAGCAACAAGCCTGAAGACGTCTTACGGTTTGGATTTGCCCTGTCTGAACCTGATATCACGCCAATTGATCAGCTCGTCGACGAGATCGGATATGCTAGGGGTATCGGTGCTGCCGTCATCACGGGACATATTAGTTTTGGCAAATGGGACCCGGGCAAGCGCATCACTAAACAGTTGGCTGAGAGAGGTGTACTTGGTCGCGATATTGTGCTCAGCCACGGAAACTCTCTGACAGATGGGGAACTGGATTATGTAGCCAAATTCGGCTCCGGAATTTCCACCACCCCAGATACAGAGTTGCAGATGGGCATGAGTCACCCAGTCGCCTTCAAGGCAAAGGACAAGGGAGCCATTGCTTCATTGGGCGTTGACGTCTGCTGCAGCAGCCCTGCAGACATGTTTGCGCAGATGCGATTGCTGATCCAGGCTCAAAGACATCTCGAACACGAAAAGGGCGCCGGACCCCCATTGAAGATGTCGCGCTACTGTTCCGAGGTTCTGGAAATGGCTACGATGGGAGGTGCCCGCGCTGTGGGACTGGAGAATGTCATTGGCAGCATTACTCCTGGTAAGCGTGCAGATATCTTGATAACTAGGTGCGACTCGATCAGGCTGGTTCCCGTACACGACCCTGTCGGCGCACTCGTTCTCTACGCCAATGGATCGGACATCGACACGGTCTTCGTCAACGGGAAAATCGTGAAATCGGAGGGCAAGTTTCCACACATTGACTGGCCAAAACTCCGAGACGAACTGAGGGCGTCGACAGCTGCCATCCTGGAGACGTCGAAGAAGGCTCCAATGGAAGAGCTCGAGGCTGCTCGCAAATGGATGGTGGAGGTGCTGGCAGGCACGAGGAAACAGCAACGGGATAGCAAGGGCAACATCACGAATATTTCAGAATAGAGTACGTTTATGCTTGCGGGTTCACTAACCCCGAGTTTGAATCCGAAATTCACTTCAGACAGCGCGCAGAGATCAATAGCTCGTGACTGTTCTATAATCTCTAGCAACGTGTGTAGAGGCGACGTTCAACGAAGAACTTGAAGCTCGTTTCATAACTCCTTGGCCATTCAAACGACAATATCCTACCACCTCAAGCAGCTCTTCTCCACTGCTCAGGCATGATTTACGAAAGGATTGGAGACAAAGGGGAGAACCTCGGCTGAAGGAGTAACCATTAAGCTCGAGCACCTGCACGAGCTTTTAAAGTTTTAACCCCGCCAGACTAATTTTCCGTGTCTCTCCACCATTCTGCGTCCGTTAACTCGATGCAACCCTTCTATTCCCTAGTTTCGTATCATCACTCTTGAATCTCTCTCCCCCTCCATACTACGACCTAAGACACGGTAATTGCCTTTCTAGACAACTTGACTTAGTACAGACCTCCGTGGCGGACAATAGTTATGTTGAGAGAATCGGGGCGGCCGAGGAAAGCCTGCAGTACTTGCAAGGCTCAGAAGGTACCAATCTGTAAACCACGTTTTGTGAGATGGCGATCTGAGCATACATTACTGACAATCGAAAGATACGTTGTACCGGGGAGAGACCAACATGCCAGCGTTGTTTACGCTTAAAGCACAACTGTGTCTACAGCATCAACACTTGCAAACCACGCAGTGGTCTCAAACGGCAATCCTCTACTTCAGTTGTCGCAAACAACCATTCTTCGCCGGCAGCAACCACAAGTCGGGGGGGCAATCATGCTCATGGACCCTTCACCTTACAGAATGCTGATGTATTGCCCTCGGCGGCCTCGACTTCGCCAAGTTACGAAAGCAACCTTTCTCGTGAACCATTCTCCTTAGAAGCCACTAGTGAGTTCTCCTCGACAGCCTCGACCTCAGCACGTCGCGAGAACAGGATGAATCATGGCGCTTTTGCATTGCACAATGCTGAGGAGTTGCCTCCGTTGAATCTGTTACTCCACACCCTCGGCGAGGATCGGTACCATGGAATTCCAAGGCATTTGATATCGATCCTGATCGAAGTTTACTACCAAAATGTATACAATGCGGCTCTTCTTCTGCACAAAAAGTTATTTTTGGAATCTTTCGTAGCAGGAACTGCTCGGTCACACATAGTTCTTAGTGTATGCGCCTTTGCAGCAAAGTAAGTGTTGCTTTACTCTTGGGTGTCAAAGTGGGTTGGCTGACACCGCCCACTTAGCTTTTATCGAGATGCCAGTGGGGGGGCTACGCTCAAAGAGCACGGTTTCATGGTAGAATGGGCCCAGAGAGCGGGAAAACTGGTCTTTCTCGATGCCCAGGAAATCCAGGAAGAGAGTATCGTCACGCACTGCAACTTGTCCCTCTTCTGGCACAGTCAAGGGGATTGGAGACTCAGTTATCTGCACAAAGGTAGTTAACATCCTTGACATCATGTGCCTGCGCTAACACATTCATAGGCAGCGCGTGCAACCTGCTTAATATCATAGGCTTAGGACCTCGGCGTCCACAGGATCCCTGGACCTGTGAGGTAAGGAGACGCCGCTCTTGGGCTTGTTACCTCATGCATTGCCATACCTCTGCGTCTATGTCACAGTTTGAAGCAGCAACAAACATGGACAACTTGCCATTACCTTGGCCGGAAGAAGATTTTGAGATCGGCGTGTGTCGGAGCCCACAAATAACTCTCAGCTCTGACCAAAGCAACGGCGGAATGTACGCCGAGTTGATCAAGATCCTCACAATCTGGTGAGTCAAGACTCAGAGGCAGCCTTGGTCAGATCAATATTGACCTTGATTTTAGGTCTACTGCAATCGCCTTTGTTAAGTCTTCCAAACCAAGCTTCAGTTCAAAGATTTCAGGCATTCATGATCTCGACCAGAAGCTTTCAGACTGGTGGCGCAAACTGCGCCCCGAATTCCAGCTCACAGCATCCAAGATCGGAACAATACCACCTGATGCGCTACCTAAAGTCCTGATGATGAACATTGTCTATCATCAAACCTTTTGTGCTCTTCATGCATCCATAGTTCCCCTTTTCTGCTGGGGCCGTGGGCATGAGGATTGGCTGGCAGCACGCCAGCTATCGGCACAAGTTGCTTACGAACATGCCTGTTCAGCTTCCGCACTTATAGATGCCGTCCTCGGGTCTTCTGACCGGTTGAGTGCGATGCCAAGCTACATATCTCATGCGGCATATGCTGGCTGTGCGATTCAGCTACCCTTCATGTTCTGTTCAAATCTAGCAGTGCGAGAAAAAGCAGTGGCGAATGTCAAAGCCAATATCAAAATGCTACATACGATAGCGGGCTACTGGAAATTCGCCGCTCTACTGGTAAGTCCCTACCTTCATACGCAAAAGGCCAGGGTACTTCTGAAATGTCTCTACCTTAGAAAATCTACGTGCGCTGTTTGTACAATGGCCATAGAAAGCATCCTACTATCCTCGACAACGAACCAAGGTTCGTAGATCCTCGAAAATTGACCGGGTTCAAATTGAACGCACCGCGCGCCCAAGCCTCTATACTCGAATTCAACGCAATCCTACGCTTGAAGGACAGTGATGGAGTCAGTAAGTCGGGTGAAGAGGTAGATCTTGGAATCGAGCAGGGGAACAGTGGAAGCGAATCTGTGTCCCGCTTACGAAGTCCAGGTCGACACGAAGGTAGGATAGCACATGCATCTGGACATAGCAGGAGAAACCTATGCTGACCTTGAATACTATGGTTTCTCCAGGTCCAGGCCAGGAAAAAATCCCTTTGCAGCACGCTGCTCATGGTCTCTGGTCGCACAACGCCTCTACAATGCAATTTCCACCGAGCAATGAAGAACAATATCAAGAGCATCCACAAAATATCTTCTCGGCTTTAACATCCCAGCTGTCAGATACATTCGTCGCTGAAAGCAACCCATTCGATATCGATATATTCCAGCCTATCCTCGACCCAGAAATGATTGAGCTTTTCCCTGGCGGCGATCTGCCGGACCTCTCGCTATTTGAGACAAGCCCTTTGAATCTTGATTACTTCAACATTGAGGAGCTGACTGGTGCCACGGCCAGCACTTTTGGGGTAGGTACTGGTGCAGCAAGTATGGACAGGTCTGAAGATGTGGCGGCATCGAACTGGGCAGATGCTTCGTGAGCAGCCTTAGCACGTTGTTTGAGTGCTGAGAGCAGAATTCGCGAAATACCACATTGACGCGATAGTAAATAGTCGCCTTAGCCAGGAGGAAGTGACAATTGGAACTTACCATTGTTCCTCACCAGCTTTGTCATCCATGGCAGCAACCACGAATACTAGCCCATGATGCGCTCAAGACGAAATTGTCCTGAGGGTGGCTTGCGCGGAATGGATTCGCCGTAACGTACTCCTGAATTCTAGCTCTTTTGTGACACAGCTGTAAATGGCGATCCGTGGCCATCTGAGACCACTGACGAGCCTCTTGAACTCCCAGGAAGCGGCCGCTCAACAACAGTACGCTAGTAAGTCAGATCTCGAAGCGAATGCACGACATGATCAACGATCATTACTTAGAACAAAAGTGTGGGGAGATTCTGATGGCAATCACAATTTTCAACGTCTCTAGCCGGACGAGAACAGGGCCTTCCACGTCTCCTGCTAAATATTCTTGGCCTTCCCTGCTAACGACCTCCGTCCAAGTTCGGCCACATCGCCAGCTTCCCGGCTGATGTTCATGCAGCAGAAGCTAACCTAGCCGGGGGTTGATCTTGCGCTCTCAGATCCTCAATTTGCTGGACCATAGTCGCAGCCTCTTTCCATAGATATACATGGGTATCGTAGTGAGGAAGATCAAGCCTTCAATCAGAGTGTTCCATCCAGACACCTGGAAAACTCAGCCGTGAGAACAATTCAATTTGGACAGTGCGACCGTGTGAGGGCCAGACTCACCTTGGCATATCCGTCTCTTAAAAACCACGGAAACACCGCGAACGAGAGGGCAAAGGCGAAAGTGTTCTTTGCAGCTGTCAAAGCAGTCATCGTCTCACCAGCCAGAGGTCTGTAACAGTCAACCACATAGGTCACGGCGATGGTGGATACAGCACATAGAACACCCCATGTGATGGCAGTGCCCACGATTGGGACCATTGGCGGGAGGTTATTCTCGATACCGAATCCGTAGAGGAGAAGACCAAGGGGCCCAAATAGGTAAGCAGGAATAAGACACCACAGGCGGAACTCTGGTTCGAAATAACCTCCTCGGCGTTTCGTAAAGAATTTGATGGTCCAGTCGCTGACCGGGCCACCGGCTGCTGAACCGATGAGAGACGCAACTAGGTACTGTGTGGTGGTCAGAAGAATGCCGGGGATATCAAGACAATTGTCTAGAACAGGAAAGAGTTCTTACTGCGCAAGCGATGTTGCCCACAGCCAAGGGGGAGAAATTGTATTGTATGGGAAAAATGACTCCATTGGCTGTACTTTGTAGTACTATCCAGGCCAGGGTCACGCCGTAGACGAGAGTCGCCCAGATGTTGGCCGGGTACTGCAAAGTGAGTAGAGGCCGCCACCAAAGCCACCAAAGTGACTGACTACTATCAATGAGGTTAGGAGTATAGTAGCAAGAGCAAGCAAGATTCCGTACCTATCATACCACCCTGTGAGAGACAGTGATTTCAGCCAGCTGCTGTTGGCTCGGGCGCGGATGGCGGGTAACTCAGAGGGCTCCAGGCCTTCTCCCATCTCGTTCTCTGGCGGCCGCTCAAAGTTGGTTTCCGATGCAAACAGGCACATGGTCAAAAACAGGACGCCAGCCAATATGGAGTTTGCCCAAAGGACCATTCGCCAGTTCGGACTTGCATTTGCAATCAAGCCAGCAAAAATGCCACCACAGGACGAGCCAACCGTAAACATTAAGATGTAGGCACCCATCCACAACCCTCTCTCGTGGACGAAGAACAGATCTGCCACGACAGCAGGCCCTAGAGCTTCGCTACAGCTGGCAGCAAATCCCTGGATGAACCGTGCCCCGAATTGCGAGCCATAAGTTTTTGCCACAGCCGACCAGACGCTGCAGACGAAAAAGAGGCAAGACGCGAGGATGAGGACGGGCCTTTTGCCGTATTTTGCCGCAACAGGAATCCAGAATAGGTTTCCCAGACCCAAAGAGAGGATCTGGAAACTGATCAAATAGCCAGCTTTGGTGAAGTCGATGTTGTACTCCTGGACGACATTCAACAGGATGGGACTAATTCCAAGTGTGACATAATTGGAGAGGAAGACGAAGAAGCAGCTCGCAAACAATGCAAGGTACTTTCGCCACAGATGCCATGTCTGCACATTTCGCGTGTTAGTAGAGATCGTGCATGGGATTTCCAGGGATGCCACTGACAAGGGGATCTCGTGGATCATCGGTCGGTCTAGGGAGCAGTAACCTCTCGAGGACTCTGCCCTCATCATCCTCTGAGGGTCGTTAGCAAGCTCGTCACAAGCTCACAGGTCAAGGTTGTGCTTACCCCTGTACAGATGCGAGACTGTCGCATCGACGGGCACATGTTGTGCCTTCTCACTCGGAGGCTCTTCGCTATGGGTGGCTGTGGGTTCCATCTTTGGATCCATGCTGTCGCATATATGCAGGTACTCTGAGTTTTTGCAAAGGTGAAATCTGCATGCCTCCGGTCAGGCGTCTAGGGTATATAACCGCCAGCATAAGGGGACGGACCCTTGAGCTGCAGAATCTGGGGATGCCGTGGGGTGGTTACCCGTGTCTCAGCTGTCCGAGCGAATTATCCATAGAGGTGGGTTCATGGATTCGGATATACCCAAGTGGTATATGACTTGAATAACGATTTTGGTCTAGACCTGTCTTTTTGGCGAACAATTTGTGTCGAAAAAGCTGAGTGTTGTCCAGAGCACGGATTCGGAGAATGATAACCCGCGTCCGTCTTTTTCCAACGGAACTGACAAGTCACTCCGCGTCTGGCTCCACACAACCCGGACCCGCGGGGCTGCAAAAATTACCAAGAACAGCGGAAAAGTTGCATGGACTTTTCGAGATTTCGAGATTTCGAGATGTAGATAACTGGTAAACTGCCTTGCTGCTCTGAAGCAACAGTATAGGGCAGAGAAACGAAAAAAAAAAAATGGGGTCCTGGATTGAGGTGTCAAAGGACTCAGACTTCTCACTGCAGAACTTGCCATATGGTATCTTCAGCACTAATGGCACAGGACCACGCATTGGCGTTGCCATCGGTGAACATGTGCTTGATCTTAAAGTCCTGGCGCAGGATGAAGTCTTCGCAGATCTCAAATTCGATGCCACCACACTCGAACAGACAACCTTGAATGCATACGCTGCCTTGAGAAGAGGCGTACATCGTGCGGTCAGGAGTAGAGTACAACAAATCTTGCAGAAGGAGACTCAGTACGGGGATGTGTTGCGAGACAATGAGGAACGTCGCAAGAGGGCGCTCACTCCATTGAGCAGCGTTACAATGCACCTACCGATGGCCATTGGCGACTATACCGACTTTTTTGTGGGACTCCACCATGCTGTTAATGTCAGTTGCAGTCTCCCACGATCCGAAACGTGAAGACGCTGGAGCTAATTAGTCGAACTCCAACAACAGTGTGCAAATGTTATTGCGCCCGGTAAAGGAATCGAAGGACTCTGTCCAGCATTTTTCCATTTACCTGTCGCATACCACGTAAGTAAGACTGCTTGATGAATCTGCGCTTAGGCGTCACACTATGATCACTGAGATAGACATCGCCAGTCAAGAGCTGATAGCTTTCGTAGGGTCGCGCCTCCTCGGTGGTTCCATCAGGCACGAAGATACGTCGTCCCAATGGTCAAATGAAAGTGGACGACAAGGTTATATATGGACCTTGTCAAAAACTCGATTTTGAAATTGAATTCGCAGCTTTCATTTCCCATGGAAACGAGTTGGGAAGTCCAATACCTGTCGACGAGGCCGAGGATCATATTTTTGGATTTGTCTTGTTGAACGACTTGTCGGCGCGAGATATTCAAGCGTTTGAAGCAACCATCATGGGGCCTTTCCAGGGGAAGAACTTTGGTACCTCGATCTCGCCATGGATAGTCCCTTTCGATGCGCTCGAACCATTCCGCACCGCTCCAAAGGAGCCAGTGAGTTGGCCAAAATGGGCATTTCCGCGGGAACCTGCTGACAACCTCCAGCGCCAATTGGCACAATATCTAACTGAAAAGAAAACTGAATCGGCATATAATCTTCCTATTCGAGCGTCTCTGGAGGGTGAGTGAACTGGACCCGTTGCACAACCGAAGCTGATTTGAGCTCTCAGTGGACTCGCAAAAATATCACATGGTAGAAGGCAATACAAACAACGTCATCTTCTCATTCGCACAAGTAAGTGAGCACAAATTGAAACATACTCCCCGTCCCTTCATTGTCAGGCCCTCCTGACCATCGCCCAAACAGATGATTGCACACCACACGCGCGGTGGCTGTCCCCTACGAACCGGAGATCTCATAGGAACGGGAACAGTTTCAGGTCCGGAAAGGGAGCAGATTGCGTGTCTCCTAGAACTTTCACTAGTCGAAAAGGAAGGAACCGAATTCGCAGCTCTGGATGCCTCCATAGGCACAGTGCGCCGCACCTTCCTTGAAGACGGAGATGTTGTTGAGTTTACTGCTCAAGCGAAGTCAAGTGAAGGGAACGTCGGATTTGGACATTGCCGCGGACAGATACTTCCAGCGCTCGAATCCTGAGACATAGATGGGGATTATTTATGAAAGAATTTAAATAAGTGTAACGCCTGATATCCAAGTAGAAGGGGATTTTGCGTATCCGGAACGAATCCAGTCTGTGTCGAACCATAAATTTCCTTTGCGAATTTTTGCGATGCATAAGGAATTTTATGCAGTAGCAGAGGGGTAGGGTATGACAATGAGGTTTAATTAGCTAAGGATGTCTCTCTGAGGGGTAGGTATAGCTGATCGCAAGGGGCCAGATTAGGCTCTCGGTGTGTTTGCTCAGGCAGCGCTCAGTGATGCTCAGCCAAAGGCTCAGTTCAAGCTCAGGTTAAAGCGGCCTTCGATCACTCTCTAGGATGAAACCGTAGATGGCAATTAGGTTTTTCGTTGTCGATTAATCTAGGTATTTAGCTTCACCTTGTGATTATATATCCCTGATCACTGTAGTCTCAAAAATATGTTATGTATAATTTCAGGCTCACCTTTCAATCTGCACAGAGCATCTTTCGGCAAGGTATTTTCTCAACTTCTCCATAGACCCTATATAGTCGGCATCGCAAGAAGGACTTTCAATGTGTTGAAACAATCCGCTGACAAATTCGAATTCATTCCCGCATGTAGGGCACTTGTACTTATACTCATCATCCCATTCGTTAGTATAGTAGCGTGATTGATAGCACCCAAAGGCCCATTGATCGATATCGCCGAGAGTAATACCTGACGGGCACGTATCGGATTCGAGATGCAACATCATTGCGGAGACGGTTGCAAACTTGCGTGTACATCCGTGACATTCTTTCGATCGAGGGAGATGTATTTGTTTGTGCTACAGTAGACCGATGGTAAGGCGGAGAGCCCAATTCTTATTAGTCGATCGAGGCTTACCATTTGCAGATTATTTTCGTTGTCAAACTCTTGCTCACAATCTCCGCATTGATTGTGGTGCGACATACGATGAGACTTGAAGTTCTCAAAGGTGCAGCCACATTCGAAGCAATACAAATGGGATTCCGACATGTGAGAAATTAGGCGGTCTTTTTCGCTCTCGTCACAGCCACATTTTGAACAAACCCAGTGTACATCGGAATCGCGCCTGTGTGCTTGGTATGCTGATTGAGACACGAACAGCCACGTGCAGCGTTCGCACCATTCTCCCTGATGGCAAGTAGCCTTTCGGCAATGCTGCAGCAGTGCGCTTTCAGAAGTGAAAATTCGCTCGTCGCATGACATGCAGGCGAAACGATCTAAGCCTCCATCTATAGATATTTGATTATCCCTAGGCATTTTTGGTATACATATAGACTCTTCATCTGGATCTACCGTGTTGTACTGTATGTAGCCACTCTTTTTGTTTGTGTTCAATATCTAGCCCCTCATTTGACGTGTGCAACCCTGATTGGTCGATTCGATAAAGCCTCCAAAAAGCCACGTGACTGTGATGGTGTCCTCGGTTCAGCCCGTGCTTAGTGTCTGCCTACGCCCTCACGAGCTTTTCCCACACGCTTCAGTGGTTGCCATCCCGTCCCCAGGCATGAGTGCCTGGGGTGGCGACCTCATCCGTAACCGGGTTCGTAACAACTATACCCTTTCGTAATGGCTATTATATAAGGAGGGCCTACTCTAGAAGACACGATTTATTATTATAATACTAAAGAGAGTATCCCTAGGGTTATGTAATTTAATCCTCTATTACTTCCTTAGGATTATCCGGTAGTAATAGATTTTACCTCGGGAACGCCTAGTCTTACTAAAATGCTCATTTATAACTAGGTATCAATTCCACTGAGCAAGTGAATAGGAAATTCTAGGGCTCTCTACTGATCTGACAGCACTTAGCAATACCGGTAAATTTTGGATGCAGCTAGAACCTAGGAAGCTCTTTTGGAATAGTGCGGGCCAGGGTACGTTATACTTTATATGTGATTAATCTCTCTTTAATTAATTAGGTTGGGGAAAGGTAGGGTACTCATTTTTCGGAGTGTGGAACTACGGAGCTACCTTATTTATCTTCGATAACTGCAAACCTTTCAGCGTTCACTGCCTGTTAAGCATTCTGAATCGATGTCCTACTACTACGCTTTGTGCTTCTCCTCTAGTACGGCGCCAACGTACGCTTCGAGATTCGAAAGATTATTACCGATTATATCCCCCAAAGTCACTTGAGTAATACTTAGCAGCAGGTTAAGCTCTTAACTCTGAAGTAATCAGTCAATGAAAACAACTCTCGAAACTTAATATTCATGATTGCTATAGTCAAACCGAAACTATCCTATTTTGCGGTAACTTGAACGATTGACCTGCTCAGCCCAGGCCCAATGGGGAAGCCTGTACCTAGTACCCCGCTAAATGTAATCGACGCGGATGGGAGATAATGCTCTCCAGGTGAAGAAGGGGGTATAGCCCTGAAAATCAGGTCACTAAGTGAAACTGAGAGCTTCTTCAGTATCTTCGATAGCTCTATTGACGAAAACCGCTGCGTTTCTAGGCCACAGCACTAACTTATCGTGAATGGTAAGACTGAGACCTTGTACCTCACCCGAGATAAGGGGCAGAAGAATGAAATGGGCTATTTCTGGTTTGTAGGAAGAGCTGATGATGTGATTAACTCGGCTGATAGGTAAGTCCTGCGCAAAGTTTTTATGCTTGTTACAGTTAAGCCAGATGTGCTAGGTCAGTTTGAAGTTGATTCGACTTTGAAGCGGCATCCTGCCGTGACAGGATCTGCGGCTATCTCCTCTCCTGATCCCAAGAGGGGTTAAGGTTTTAAGGCATTTGTTGTCTTAATAGACGATTATGCCTAGAGAGTGAAACAAGGTTTGGATGCTCTAATAAACGAGTTGCAAAAATTTTGCAAATCAAACGCAGCCGCTTATAAGTATCTTCGTAAGATCTAATTCGTAGACTCGGACTTCTTGCTAAAGACCATATCTGGAAATATACAGAGAGACTTACTAGGAAAGATGGAATGGAAAGATGGATGACTCACAATATGGACAGCTCTGCACATGGAATAAGTCCACGATCGTTCATAAAATGAGGCTTTCAATGCTCAGGAGGAAGTGCGAATTTTGGAGATACAACAACTATAGCAATCACCAGGGATCAGTAACCACAACTTTTGACCTTTGGTCCTTTTCTGTTGGAACCTCTGTGCACTCTTTTATAGTAATTGTCAAACTTAATGTTTGACCACTAGAATCTTTAAATGGTTGATATTAGCACAATCAGAAATTTCCCCAACGTTTAGTTTACCTTTTGTAGTTACGTCATTACTTGCGATATTCTTGACTGGGAATATCCTTCCAGTAATTACATCAGACAGGTTTGAGGCGTTTCGGGAATCCCTTCATAAATTAAGCGAGAATTGCGGAGGTGGAAGGCGGGGTAGCCCACCGTGGGCATGTTTCTGTTGATTTCTTTAATCTACATACTCGGTCCCCGCTCTTCTTTCCCAAGCCAGTCTTTGTTACAAGGACGATAAACTTTTTCAGATCGAAAACCTTTTAATATTCGAACATGTTTTTGACTAGTTCAATTGGCGCTAAGCGTCCACATCGAGCTTGCTTGAATTGCCGGTTAGTTGATTTGAAATATCCCCCCCAATTCAAAGCTTATCGGAATCTGCTCTACTCACTGTAATCCACCATCTAAGAATAAAACAGACGAAAGAAAGTCCGTTGTTACGGGGAACGGCCAGTATGTGGTTTCTGCGCCCGTCTCGGCCAACAGTGCATTTATCCTCAGTATCCGCGAACAATGCAGCCAGAATTCCCCATTTCGCAAATACTTCTGGTACAGAATCATAATTACTTCGTGAGCTCAATCTGAAATATTGGCTGCTAATGGTATTGCTGATTACTCAACAGCCATCTTTTGATATTGGTGACGGTCAAGAGGTCAGCGAAATCCTCATTGAAGAGGATCTAATAAGGTAATAAGATTTCGTTCGATTAAGATGTTTTGCTGATAGTGACTCAAACCTGATGACAGGTGTCGACCAAACGATATAGCTCCAAATGAACTCGGCTCTTCCGCTGATAATATTCATTCCAACTCTTTCAATCGAACCTCTTTTATTCCTGCTATAGAATTCAACCATGACTTGGAGCCCACTGAGGGGCAGGCATGCGCTAGAGGACCGGGGTGGTCTTCTAAACACGGCAACCCTTTAAATAGAATGCTCACTAGTACCAGCCAACAACTCGCGGTGGATACATATTTCAAATATTGTCATGGTCAACCGTATTCGATGTTTCACGAGGAGACCTTCCGGTCAGACTTGTCTAGGAGCATTCTACCTCCATATCTCATACTTGCAATTGTTGCCAGTACTCTTCGATATTCACAGGATCCATGCTACAAAGGCAGTCTATGTTCAGCATCCAATGAATTCGCAGCACAGGCCTGGCGTGCTATCCTTGTGGAGTGCTTTGAAAGCGAGAGTGGCCCGGACTACCGTACGGTACAAGGAACCATCCTCCTCGCCATCCATCAATTCGTCGGTAAGCTCCCTAGATAATCGGGCATTTGCTTAAATAACACAGCTAGGATGCAACTATCGGACTGCGTGGATTCGTATTGGTATGGCGATTAGCATTGCGCAGTCGCTAAACCTGATGAGTGAGCCGCCCAATTTGGCGAATTCAACCCGAGAAGAGCACCGCAGGACACTGTGGTCAATTTATATGTTGGATAGATTGGGCACTTGTGGTACAAGTCGTACTGGGCTATTTCCAGATTCGGCATTGAGGCTTCGCCTCCCATGCCCAGAAAATACTTTCCGAGACTGTTTGCCGAACGATTCACCAACACTAAAAGTTTTAAATGAGAGTCCCGCAGATCAGCTAGGTAATGTTAGCGCCCTAGCCAGAGTTATATTGCTTACATCAACTTTAAGCTGTATTGCGGGTTTCTCCCTTCAGCAGAGCTGGCAAACCCAAATAGAATCACCGTGGACACACAACTCAGAATACGCTAAACTGATCACAAGACTAGACTCACTTTCAACTTACTTTGACAAACGTCAGGCATTTGATCCAACTAGCTGGAGCTCTGGTGGCCGCGAAGATTCGAACGAAATCGCGCTGTGCATATTCTCACACATTCTTTATCACCTCTGCTATTGCATATTACAACACCCGTTCGTATTAAAACGGCGACACGGCCCGAATGATGCTCCATTTCCAAGCGACTTTCTCTCTAATAGCCTCCAAAATAATTGGCAACACGCGCAAGATCTCACTCATACCCTGTCATATGCCACTCAGAAAAAGATGCCCACCTGGTCTTCGTTCTACGCCTACTGCTCGCTTGTGGCAGGGACAATCAACTGTCTCCACTGTCTTTCGGCGGAAGAAAGCATCCAGAAAATGTCAGAATTGGCCGTTCAGATGAGCTTTTTGTTTCTGGACAGACAAGCCAAACTATATGGAAATTCGGCCCAAATGGTAGGTCTTTTGAGGACTATTTCCTCCTGGAACCCTACTTACACTCACTCTTCAAGTTAGCAGCCCTTAGGGATTTTGAGAAAGATGCAAAAGCGTTACAGCATTTGGTCGATCCCGCTGATCAAGAGCATGTTCTCGACGAAGGCGATGACGATGGTCTTTACAGGCTCCTTGATTATAGCGCACAATCGACCAAAGCAACGTCCGAAGACATGAGTCAGCAAGGAACGGAGCTGCCCCTTTTGAGCCCTGCCAACCTTGATGCCCTCGATCTCCTCGACCTCGATTTTAATTCTTTCGACAATTTGACTCCCGGAAGATTCATCTGAGTGGGTACATAACGGAATCTTAACTAGCCCTTTGTTAAATTCAATTTTATGTGTATTCCGCGCAGGTGTATGACAGATTTTGAATCTATATTTCTAACTTCTCTACCCTTTCCACTACCGCCGGTCGTATGTAAATAGTTTTAATTCTTTTTTTCTACTTCATTTTCTAGTGAATTATCGTGGATTTTATTTGGATTTTTGGTCAGGATATGCAAAAGGATTTAAACCTCAAAACCAACCGACAGAACTGTTCCACACCGGGGGTAGAACTCAATAAATAAGCTCAGAATTCTTGAGCTGCTTGCGGTCATGAGGAAAAGCCAGCACTAGGACATGGAGTGGCATGGTACGTTGGAGAATTTTTCCGCCGGTAGCGCATCATAAGAAGCCTCGGATATTGCCAGCAAGTAGAACAGCAATTCGAACTGCTTGGGCCTAGCCTCCTATCAAATCTACGATCGCATTTAACTACGTGCTGACATTGACGAGTTTGCCATCAAAATTGCCGGTTGTGGAACTGATTGGTAAATTAATAGTTGAGTGACCTCTAAGGCCATGAAAGTTTTATTGTACTTACTGCTGTGTTTGATGCCTAAGCCATGAGAAATCGGGAAGACTTTGCTGGAATAAAACCACAAGACTACATATCCAGCTGAAAATCAAAGTAATAATAAGCAGTTTCGCCTTCAGATTGCTAATTCGTGATTAATTGTGGGTTGGATTCCGCGAAATACATTCCAGGAGCAAGCGAGTGATCCTAGTTCTAGTGCTTGTATTTATCACCCACTTTTTCGGCGATCGCATCGAATAGAGGTTTCGCACTAAACCATCCAGCTTGAGGGCTACCAATTGCCTTGTAAGTAAAAGCTGCATCTTCATCGTCAATCTTTATTGTGACCTCACTCCGCCCCCCAGCAGCGGCGTCCGCCAAGAGTTGTCCATGGCAGCACTTATCGAGGCTCACAAACCAGAAGACCGCAGCCTCTATCGACTGCCCAACAGTCAAAATACCGTGGTTTTGCAAAAGACATGCCTTTTTGTTACTGATTGCTTTTGCAATATTTTCACCTTCTTTTTCGTCAAGCACGGCGCCCTTAAATTGATTATACACAGCCAAATCATTATAGAAAACGCAGCTGTCCTGAGTTATAATATCAATTGGCCGGCCCAAGGCACAGAATGAGCGACCATAGAGACTGTGTGAGTGGGCTGCACAGATTACGTCAGGACGAGCCTTATGTACTGCGGCGTGGATTAGATATGCGGCAGTATTCAGCAGTCGGTTTGGCCCGCCACCAATAACGTGTCCCTCGTGATCGACGAGTATCAGGTCCGAAGACTTCATCAATGAAAACGCAACGCCAAAGGGATTCACCCAGAATGTAGTAGGATCGACAGGGTCGCGCACAGTGATATGTCCAGCAAAGCCTTCGTCGAAGCTATTTTGAGCAAAGATGCGGAAGGCCAATGCCAGGCGTCCCTTTAGGTATTCGCGCTCTTCAAGTTTATCGGTGAACCTGGGAGGTGATGGAATGAATAACTTCTTTGTTTCGGTATCATTCTGCGGCGATGTAATTTTATTGGTGACAGAAGCTGGGCTTGGTGCTTCAAGCTTGTCGGAGCTCAGATAGTTTCTTGTTGTTGTAATGCGGGCCGCAGTACAAGTGGCCATTGTGATTTGGAGTAGTAGACAATTAATTGCGTTGTGTTCTGAATCGGAGAAAAGATGAGATATGAAATATGAAATATCGCTTCATTTGTGTAGAGATAGGATATATGTAGATTCAGAACACATCTAGATTATTGAATGCTAATGGCCAAGTGTGTTTCTATAGTCACAACACGTCCGAAAAGCCAGGGTGGTTTCTTGTCTTCTGACTAGCAATGTCCACCATATGTCATTGGTTCACTCATTGTCGACTACCTTTGCGATGATTATGACTGATCAACAGTGTTTCCAACGTCTCGCTGGGGGTTTAACGCAACAGTCGCAAGCCAACTAAATATTATTGGTCTAACGTTTTGGTCCGCCCTGCAGCTCATTAGCCGTCGTCTTGGTGTCCGTCTCCGTGGCCCTTTCGGGCCACAACGCCGTCCCCACACTTCTATATTAGGCGTCCATTCCATGATTATTCTTTCGGCTAGAATTTGCGGCGTGGCAGACCCTTGTTGCAGAACTGCTAGTCACTGCGAAGCATTGCTTATTCATTGGCAGACGGCATAGCCTGGCATTCCTCAAATTTTCATTCAATTCCAAAATATAGGTCGTAGTGTCGACTACTTCACCTCTCCGTTGTCTAAATTGATGCAAATAGACTTTAGAGAGGGTACATATTGAGATCATATAGTATCACTATTTTTCTGCTTAGGTGTTCTCTTCTATGCTTTAAACCATAGGTCTTACTGTATTACTCACATCTAGGAACCCAATATGGCTTTGTCGCCCATTCATTCTCAACAGTTTTCTACTATGCCTCGCCTAATTCATGGGCTGAGTGAGCTGCGGAAAGCGGATATTTGTAGTAATTTTGCATCCGTCGTCTGTCTGTCATCCCCCTTCCTTTCCACAAGCTCGTGCCACGATTACTCATTAGAACTTAGAAGTAGTCTTAAGTTCATGCGTGCACATTCTAGGCCTGTAGGTGACCGTCTTGTTGCAAGCAGTCTAATTTTATGAGGATACGGTCCGTGCACTAAGAGACCTTGTCTGGAACTCTGTATCCAACAGGCGGAGATTTTGCGGGTGCCAGGAATACACGAGCTCGAATGTTGGAAAGACATATGTACCTAGGGCATGTATCAAGCAATTATAAGTTAGCTAGTTATCACTCCCTATCAAGACACTGCGTCCTACTCCTAAAGCTTATTTACAGACTCCCACAAGATACCTTTACTTCTACATGACAATGTCACATAAGGAAAGCATTGTTCAGTCTGAAGAAGGCAGCATTCATCTGGAAGGGATGAGCGAGACCGAAGATGGGTCTCGCTTCCAATGGCTCTGAAGAGCTGGATATTGAAAAAAAGGCCCTTCGCATAGCCGATATACGGTTTGTACCGATACTTGGACTACTCTACACTGCATCTCTGGTGGATCGTAGCAACATGTCGGTAGCTACAATATCTGGTCTAGATGAGAACGTAGACCTGGACCAAGGGGATCGAGTCTCTATTGCTCTACTCGTCTTCTCCATTGGATATATAATCTTTTAGATTCCAAGCAACACTCTCATGCAAAGTGTCGGAGTAGCAAACTGGGTTACCGGAATCACGTTTGCCTGGGTGCTTGTAGCTCTTGGAATTGGCTGTCTGTCTAATTTGGTTGGTCTATCAATCTGCCGTGTAATTCTTGGTATATCTGAGGCTGGATTCTACCCCGGGTGATGCCAGAATCAATCTGTCGAATGCAAATATAATGATGGCAAAGGTGTCTATCTGGTCGCTTCCTGGTATGAAAATGGGAAGTCTAAAAGAGATGAGCCTTTTGCTATTCCACTTCAGCAGCATTAACAGCATTCGCGAACATATTTGCGTACGCTTTTATTCAAAGTGCTACCAAAACTTCCTACGAAGGGAGTCTCGCTAGCATCGTCGCCATCATAATTGGTTCGTTATCGTCGATTTTCCAGCGTCAGAGCAGGACAAATTTTTGTCCCTAGAAGTAAAGCAATTTGTATTGGATCGAGTAGTAAAAGATTGAGGAACGAAAAAAAAAAAAAGAAATCCTCCTTACAACGGATCTTCGATTCATTGAATGATTGGAAGGTGTGGCCCCTTCTCTCTTATGTATATATCGGCCGGTATTGGGGTATACTCTTTTAATTCTTCCTTCGAAGTTACGATTGTCCTAAAGGATGGATTATCGTAATCGTTAGGACTGGCTTTCCGTTTCTCAGCGCCTCTTTCCAATTTCGCTGTTATTGAACCATTCGCTGTTGCGCGGCTCGCAGACAAACTGCAATCTCGAGGACTTTTTGTCATTTTCCAAGCATGCGTTGCGATTACCGTTCTTTGCGTCATATCATTTGTGAAGAGCCCAACCCCAAGGTACATTAGAACATTCCTAGGAATGGTAGGAGTTAATGGAGTAATCCCAACAGTAATAGCTTACCAACAGAACAGTATTGTTTGTGATTCTAAGCGAGCAGTGGTCACGGCAGTTTTAGTCATGACTAGCGCTGTAGGTGGTATTTATTATTCCCTCGTTTTCCGTCAATGGGTCGATCTGAGCTATAAAGGAGCGTTTTTTGAAAATAGAAATACTAACAATGTCGAAGGACGCACTTAATTATTTTCTCGGCATAGTCGTTGTTATAGCACTAAATACACTCACTGTGGTGCTTACCATGGTCACCATGCTAACGCTAAGGTGGCAGAACAAGTTAGCTAATAAGGGAAAGAGATTTCCCAGTATCCCAGAAGGATTTAAATATCCTTATTAAATAACAAAGCCACTAGGCATGCGTGGGGATGATTGTGGCTTATCCTTTCAACGAAACAATGCTAAGGGAATAAGGGTGCCGCATATTGTCTAGTATTCTTTGTGATTCAAAAGAGACACTTTGCTCTACAACTATCATTACCTGCTCAATTAATTATGCTATCTGTGTCGTATCTAATAGCCATTCACCTCAGCTTTACTTTTTCACTGTATAAGTATTTTTTGTAGCAATACTCGACGAACATTAGTACACCCGGTTGTATTGAAATTCAGTATTTCCCTGCAAACCTTTGCAATATAAAACAAGCTGATTGCGGCAGGAGAACTTTGCGAGAGCATAAATAAGTCAATATTATCTCCACCCTTCTTTGCATTGCTAGGTGCCGGCGGAGCCACGTAAGCGTGACGGACTAACGCAAGCATTGGAACACTCAATGCCTGTCGCAGAAAATATTAATAGAGTGAATTTACAAACTCTTGATTCTAAATTCCTATAACAAGAACTATATTTTTGCGCGGGGTGAATTAAGCCTGGCCTCCCCGAAGACAATCCTCATGTCCGAGGTCTGTAAATTGGCGGAACTCCTCCTTGGCTTTAGACTCATACCTTCACACTTGCCTGAAAACCAACACTCCCCTACCAACTGTGCCACATCATTTCCATCTGTTGCTGCGTCGATGATTAGAAGCAAGCCTTGCACAATGTCAACAAGCCTTGACATGATGTCGCGAGCGTGTATCTCAACGTCTAACTTTGGGAGATCGACTAATGTCTGCTTAAAGTCGGTCCACCAACGTGCCACGGTTTGGATGTCAGGACCATGCCCGGCGTTTTGTTCTAGCACTTCGGTAACCCATTTGGACAGGGCTCTCATTACATCTGTTCGATTCTTGCCGTATAAGACGCGTAAAATGGCGTCGTCAGCCATCATCTGGGCACCTTTGTCAGTACAGAGATTGACGAGATTACCGCAAACTCACATCAGTAGTACCTTCCCAGATGGGTACAATATTTGCATCACGATAGAGTCGGGCTATGTTGAACTGCATATCGTCGTTTTCAAGGTAGCCTATTCCACCTAGACACTCCATGCATTCTTGGAGACCTGTGATTCCAGTCTTTGCACAGTGCCCTTTTAGTAGCGGTGTGAAAATCCGTAAAAGCCAAACTGCCATCGGGGTGTCTGTCACGTTCGGTAATTTTCCCATCTTATTCGCTCCTTTCCCTTGCTCACCATCCATTTTCGCGATTTTTTCTTGCTCAGCACAACCAAGAAGTCCAGAAACGAAGAAAGTAAACAGAACATTTGCACGATACTCAGCGTGCATCCGGGCAAGGTTCCGCATAAAGCCTGCTCTCTCATACAGTGGTCTTCGGCCCACCACTCGAACACGGGCAAAAGCTCTGACAATCCCAAGGCCTCTCCCCCAGAGTCCAACTGCCGTAGCTGAATTGTGAACTCTTGCAACATTAAGAACCGTAGCAATCTCCTTCGTTCCTCTACCTTCTTCGCCTACCAACCAACCCCGCATCCCTTTTATCTCTAGTTCTGCCGTTGGTAAAGCTTTCGTTCCTAGTTTGTTTTTCAGTCTTTGAATATAAACCCCGTTCGACGCAGTGTCAAAACCCATGGCATCCTTTTCCTTCAATGCTCGTCTCATCGGTGCGTAAAATAGACTGATTCCTTTCTGAGTCCGAGCAAGGAGAATTGCCATGTTAGCGTCCGTGGCGCTACTGAACCATTTGAATCCATCTAAGCGCCATGGACCAAGCGCGTTTCCATGCGCATCTTCTTCATTTGATTGACAGTTTGGTGCATATGTTGCAACGGTCTCGGTCATCTTCACATCACTTCCGCCTTGTCGTTCTGTCATCCATTGACCAGACGTCCATGCTCTTTCGCCGTCTCTTGATAACAACCTAGTATACGCATCCTGTAAGACCTGTCTCTCACCCCCAAGTGTGTTATCACTCAGATGTTCGCGAAACAAGCTTGCCACCCCGTCAACAATGAGACTAGGACAGTTGACCCACGCACTACTTCCACACCATAGGATGTATTTTGTGCACCAGTAGATCCTCGAGAACTCCTGAAAGGAATTTTCATATGGGATAGCAACTATACCTGCTTCAATTCCCATCCGCTGCAAATTCTTCCAACCGTCACTAGTTATGAGCTCATCACGACGCTTGCCCCAGGTGTCCCACGATTTGACGTAGGGAAGATTACGTTCAGCCTCAAGAACCCAGCCAAGCGTCTGACGACTGAGAACACGTTCACCAAAAGCAGAGAGATCGGCTTGTAATGCCTCTTGCACTCCGTGTGGTAGGAAGAGCTTCATCGCGCGTCGTAGAGCCGTATCATCTTCATACTGGTTGAGAACCTGCGGAGGGCTTTGGAAAAATCCAGCTGTGGAGCTGGATGGAGCAACATGATGAACATTTGAGGTAGTGGTGTCAAGCTTTCCTGGTCTGTCCACGGAATTGATACGACTTTCAATGGTATAGGGTTTGTTGGCCTCCCTGTATTCTAGACGTTCTTGATTCTCAGAAAAATGAGGCATGAAGATAGTGATGTCAATTTGTACCAATCAGTAACGGTGGTAAGAGTGAAGTATCGAATACAGGAAGAGTCCATCCTCCACCACCAGCAAGCCCCCTCCCTTCTACTTATATCCTTGCGCTAAACTATACAGTCATCCTCCATGAACATCATTCAGCCGCCTAAGTTTCGCTAGCCACTTGGAGGAATTAGACGAACCACGGCTTGTAGTAAGACTTGTGCAAACGTTACTGCACGTACCCGAAAACGGGCATGGCCGCGTCGGGTTATGAATCAGGCTAGGCTAGGCTCCGTGCTGGTGCTCCGTGGTGGCACTCTGTAGTCCTCCGTCCCCACTTCATCGCTCTGCATATCATCATCGAACAATGAATGAGAAGATTCATGTGATTCGTTTCGCAGTCGTGGAAGGTGGCGTACTGTTACTAAACTCAAGTCTAAGCAAAACTGTTGGCGCACTCGACTAAGTTGCCTTCTGGAAAACACTCGAGCATGAATGAGATCTCTGTCTCTTTCAACGGGACTGTATCGGGGCAGCGAATGTGGCCAGCGAATGCCAAGAAAGAGAATGCACTAATGCAACTTTAAACGGCGTCACACCTAAATTAGTATGAGCACCCGTTCCTCATCCCATACCTCATTTTTGCTCCTATAAACCACCTATATAGCCTCGCTCGCGCGCCTCAGTGAACCTGGCTGTGTACTGCCTACGCCGTTTAGGCCGTAGTGCCTCTAGTACTGGCGGGGCTGTAGACGCTGGGGCCTCATTTAGCGTATATATTGGCCTTGGAGAGGCCTCAGGTGACGGCGTACGCCGCGGACGAGGCCTCTCAGGAGTCCTTATTGCTAAGGAGTGAGGTAGAGACTTTAGGGGAGTCTCAGGGATGCTCTCAGGGACTACTTCCACTATAGTTTCTATAGTATTATTCCCTTCTTGCCATAGCTGCGGCTTTAATAAGGTATTTACTAGTTCGCTTGCTACGGCTTAGTCTCCTACCTCTTCCGCCTTTATAATTTATAGCCGCTCTTCCTGAATCTCTCTTCTACGCGCCTAATACTATTATTATATAGCCCTTTTACTAGATATAAGAGCTCGCGCGTTAGTAGGCCTATGGCCGCCGTGGCGAGCTAATTAGCCCTCTCGGCGGGCGCTTGGTTGATAAAAGGGACTCTCTTGGAGGCGTAAGTTATCCTAGGTAACACGGAGGAGACTCTATACCGCTATATTTAAGAACTAAGTAATACTCCTCTCTACGCCCACTAAACGTAGGTTAAATATATATCTCTACTTAGGGTCTAGAGTGCCTCGTATTGCTACTAATTGTGTAATAATCGATGAATCTACCTTATTTATAGGCGGTTTAAGAGGTTCTTGCGTATCCTAAGTAGGATAGAATGGCACCTAATCCGTAGAATAAATAGAGGGCCCATTTAGCCACCAACGCGGGTGGACTAAGGTCTTTAGTATCGGTGAACCCTCGGTGTACGCCTTTTTTAAGTAATGGGCGTAGGCAATGCTAAACCGTAGTAAAATCTCACAATCGCAGCTATTTTGCGGTATTTCCAAGTCTCTTCCTGCGCGTATTTACTCGTCTAGAGTAGCCTACTCTCTCTCGAGGCGTTTTACAGCGAATTTACTAACCGTTATGCGTAGTAATCGAAAAGGAGGACCTTGGGCGAGGCGAGAGTAATTGGTAGCGGAGGAGGCCTCGTCTAAGTCGATATCCTTGATTACTGAGTTAATCTTCGATATCAGCCTTTTCACGGAGTCCTCCAGTAATAATTGAGCATTTACTAGCTCCTTAACGGTATTATAGTATGACTTAACTCTCTAACTTGCGGTAGAGCCTAAATTAGCGTATTTATGCGTATATAGATATACTACCTTTTGCTCCTTTAAAATCTATATATCCTATAAGTATTTTATGAATAATGGGCCCACCGCGTAACCTAGTACTTTACGATTAATTGCGAGTACCTCTAGAGTCTTAGATTATAAATATTCCTAGTATTTAGCCCTATAGACTAACTTTATATTATCCTAAGGAGTACCGAGATCTCTCATCTTTTTCTCCATCGCCTAAACTACGTACTAGTTATAAAATTACTATTTTACCTTAGGAAACGCCGTAGGAATCGAGGCTATAAGGTCCTTTAATTAGTTACCGATAATGACTCGAGGAGGTACGTAGGACGCCTTAAAAGGCCTTAAAAAGTAGTAATCCTTAAGGCACTTCTAAAAAAAGGTATATAAAGCCTCGTCCTCCTTAAGGCACTAGGAAAAGCTAATTGAGAAGGTTTTACCGCTATTTAATTAGCTAATAGTAACTAGGAGAGGTATTTTAAGCCGATTAGTACTAAAAGTACTATCGATAATAAGGTAAAAATTACTAATAAAGCGCTGTAAGGTACTTATTAATTTAGGGTGAGTAAACTAGGCTTATATAAGCTTTCTACCGAGTACCTTACTCTACGCGTTAGTTAGTACCTTACTCCTAGTTTAATAAATCTACTTATTTGCCTATAATTCGGCAAGAAAGCTAAGTATCGATTTATTACCCCCGTCTACTCGCTACTTTCTCACTATATTATAGAACTCTCGGCTAGATAGATGTACGGCAAAATCCTCGCTTTCCAGGATCCTACGCGAGTCCGAGTACACGATTTTAGTATTGCGGTGAGCTCTAGCCTTTACTAGGACCTCCTGAAACTTAGGAATACGCAATTTATAAGTAGGATACGCATAAAGTAGATTATTAAGTAATTCGTGGCCTTCGTAAGGGAGTAAAACTCTAGTAAGGCGCCATTCTCTACCTTAGTCTTTATCCTTTTTATCGATGAGTAGATAACTAACTCTAGTACGCTATTTACACCTAGTTTAGCGAACATTAGTGCTCTCTCGCTGGCGCCGTGAGGTGACTCTTCCTTCTAGGTTACGAATTACTCTATTTTCGAGCCTACGGTAATCGCGAGTCTCCTCGCCGTGATGAATATAGAGAAGCTCGAATCCTAGCGTTTTAGTATTGCCTCCTCCTTAATAAATAATATCGAAGCCCTAGACAAGCGAGAAAAGGTGAAGGCGGGCCTCAGCGGCTTTGCGGCTCTCGAATACCTCTCCCACAGCGGGTTCTTACCGCCAGGCGGCTGGAAGCGAGTTTACATGCCTCTCAATTAGTACTCGAGAGTGCTTAAAGCACCCCGCAGGAGCAGCCTAGGCAAGAGAATCAGCTATATAAGGAGTCATAAGAGGAGGACTTGAAAAGAGTAGGACTAAACACTAAAAATGGCTATATAAGTAGCGTCGATGAGGTATGAGAGTAGCGGCGAGGTATTCTATCGATATCGATGGCGATCGATGGAATATTAGTTAATTTCACCGCAAAATCTGGTGGGATATCCATAACTTGGCATCAACTTGGCATTCTCTTTCTTGGCATTCGCTGGCCACATTCGCTGCCCCGATACACTCCCCTTTCAACCTTATGGACGCTGTTCTTGTTTATATACAAATTTATGAGGCATTTGATCTCCGTGAGCCCCTTTTGCATGATGTACAATCACTCATTGATTTCAAAGCATTGCAAATGCTGATACAATGGCATTTTTATAGTAGGAGTCACTGGAGTTACTCATAGCGTTTAGCATCCATTTTTGTTAGCGCGTCACGTGGTACGTGAGTTAGCACGCGCTAGCTAATTGGCGCTAACAAAAACTGACTCAAAGCTGTAGCTCATATATCTAATTCATTGTAAAGCCTCGGTAGAGGTTGCTAATGCATTTTACGCAGCCTTAATTTCATTCAAGGTCATAAAGAGTGATTTCTGCTTTGCGATACTTGAGAACCTTGACGAACATTATGATCAGTCATGGGAAGTGTCGGGGAATTGCCGCCAAGCAGAGCAACGTTAGCTAAAGTAGCTCCTTTGCCGATATCTAGCGGAGCACTCGCTCAGGGCCATTACTCCGGTGGATCTTTTATGCCTTGGCGTCAATAACTCCTTACTGATTACTTGGCAGCCAATAAATAAATGGTGGATGGCCTTTTTGTTGGTAAGAAGCACCTAAACTTGCCCATGGCACTGATTCGGAGAAGCTGGCTGCGAGCCATCCTGCAAGAACGCCACTGCGCTGACGGATCAGTGTATCCCTCGAGCTATTGAGTTCCGGACTCCATCTTGCCGGCGTGGTAGGGCCCTGCCGTATCCATGTTGGATTTCGACCACAGATATTCCTAACTATGCTGGTTTGTCGTGCGAAAATCATGGCCAACGAATAATTCTGAACTGGCGTAAGTTTGAAAATAAAACGATCAGTAAGGGTGACCCGTCGAGCGTCTTCGAGAAAGACTGATAGATGTGTTGAGGGGTTGACCTAGCAACACACATGACAGCCATGCCCGCTTCAGAAAGTCTTTCTAGGTAGTAACTTACCGACACAAGTGATGGCAATACGCGCACGTGTCCAATAGCTTCAGCGATCCTGTTTATCAGACTTAGAGCTTAAAGCCAGTGCAGGAAGTGCTGATACGTCGGCCCAGTCAGGAATCACATATCCGTTTATCGCTAGAGCTTGGGAGAAGTGCGAAGAGGACAAATGCTCGCCCTTCCCGACGGCCTAGTCGTTCGCGGTGGAGTGTTCTCCAATATAGCTCTTACTCAGAACCAATGGGCTGCCAACTGCGTAAACTCGACCGGCGTAACAGTTGTTAAGTCTAAAATCGGCACCAATGCCAATGAAACTGCCCACCATGATGAAGAAAAGCCTCAGACATCGATATCCACATCAGCCTCTGCCACCAGTGCTTCTACCGATGGTACAAGTTTAACCACAGGGGTAAACGCCGCCGCCGTCATCAACACCCAGTTGACTGGATTTGTTTTAATCGTTCTTGCAATTTTGACGGGTTTCAAAAACCCAAAGTGATCTGAATACTATTGGGAAAGTCTTCTCGTTGCGTTCGTTTGGGGGGAGGAGAGGCTTGAGAGGAATCCCACTATACTCAGCGCCGAATCTGGACCTTCCCCAAGTCCATATAAGTTTCCGGCCTTGGGGACCTTGCTGCTTTGCTTGAACTTTGACAAAGCCGTCTTGAGTTGTGGCTGTGCAATCCTGAATGCCTGTTGGAGCGCTCTGGGGGCGTGCGTTCAGCACTCTGGGCAGGGCTGTGAGCCTCCATACAGTTCCGCAACTTGGCCCCTAGGTTCCCATTTACAGGTGTTTCACATGCTCGGGGTGACCCAGTCACGTGAGCTTGGCCCGCCTTTTATTGCCAGGCGTGGCCGGGACGGCTACTTGGATTGAGACGCTGCCTGGAGGAGGCATGTGCTATCATCGCATGTGCCAATTTACTCGGTATATCATAATTAATAAGAGAGATAGCTCACATCCTTCTGAGACTGCACAGGGAACCATTATCGACCAACTAAGTCGACGCCTGCTTGATGGGATGAGCCCATGGAAACTTCCCAACCATCTGCTCCTCACCCTGTACATACTCGAAGACAGGTGTGCGAGCTAGCGCCGGTGCACTGCGATTCGAAAAAAACTTCTGAAGAGATTGCTTTGAGAGAATATGGCGGTCCACAAATTTGTGAGTTGCGTCCGACCACGTAGCCGCTCCAGTGGCTTGGCTTGCACCAGCGAGGCCTGCCTTGACTGTATCGAAGCGCGCATGTTGGTAGCCGTCAAACGCAGCCAAGATCTGTTCCTTGGTCGGAGAAGCATCCGGATCAGAGGCCCGGATAGCCTTGAAGGCGTGATACAGCTCATTAGCTAGTGCGACAACGTCGACAATGCCATTGTTACAACCGGCGCCGGTGCTTGGTGTGAACTTATGCGCCGCGTCGCCGACGAGAACGATACGGTCCCAGCTCCAATGCTTCACGACGCCCTCCTCGAGATTCACCATCCCGGCCTGGGTCCGATTGGTATAAGCATCCTTAATTGTCAACCCGCCCTCAATGATAGGTAGGTGTCCCCATCTGTCTACAAACTCCTCCTCGTCCGTTTGGTTGTACCGCACTCCGTCCCGCGTCGGCTTCTCCATGCGCTCGTACACGCCAATAACCGAGGTTTTCTCGCCGGCAAACAGCTGGAGAGTACAATCGTAGCCGTGTGTTTCGTTAGCATCCCCGGCTTTGATGGGAGGCAATGTTGGAAAGCGGACCCACATCGCTCGGTAAGTGGTGACAAACGGCTTCGCTTCATTGACTTCACCTTCAGTAGTGGATGGTGTCTGCAAGGCCGACGCCCGCATCAAATCCCTCATTCTGCTATGGGCGCCGTCGGCGCCGACAACCACGGATCCGGTATACGAAGTGCCGTCTGCACAAGTCACGGTAACACCGTCAGGGCAGGCAGAGACGTCTGTCACTTTCTTGTTGGGAAGTAGCTTGGCCTGCGCCTCCGACGGGAGACCGTCGTGTAATGTCTGCATCAGATCATGTCGGCTTACCACGCGGGGGTATGCGCCGTGGCTACGCGATCGTCGTTAGCCATATCTATCAAAGGGTGGAGGTTATTGGACGGGTGTGTACAGACTTCTCCTTGAAATATGTAAACCACAGGGTGTCGCCGAGATCGCGTCCGTGGTGATCAATCCGTTTGAAACGGCTCATCGGTGAACTAATGCTCTCGACGGTTGGGAGCAAGCCGAGCTGGCCCAACACACGCAATCCTATAGGGAGCAGGACGAGATTGGAGCCAGCATCTTCAACCATATTAGCGCGGCGCTCGAGCACGACGAAGTCAAGGTTTGCCCGTGAGAGCGCGTGCGCGGCTGTCAAACCGACCGGGCCTCCACCCACGACAATGACTCTGAATGCAGGCGGATTCATTAGGAATAGTGCTGTACAGTTGGAACGCTTATTGGGTAGGAATAAGCTCCGTGGTAGTATTGTTAATTTGCTGTTAACTTAAGATCTCAATAAAGGAGAGGATACACCTCGGAAATTTGCCAAAGTGTCGCTGACTGAAGTATTTAACTTACATCAAAGATAAATACCCACCCTTATGTTACGAAGCCATACGTTATACCTATCTCTCCTCAACGGTCACACGAAAGCAGTAGGTACACTAAAGGCTATTAGTCGAGAAATTAGACATTCGTAATGGTCTCGCTCAATGGGCTCAAGTGCAGTGACCGGCTTCCAATCCATTATCAGCCCAGTGCATGCCAAGTTTGCACATTCCAATATCAAGTATTCACATGTCGACACAAACACTAGCTCGTCCGTGACTAGTTGTGGGGTCTCATGTGTAGGGTCTGAATAAGCACAGGGCTTGGTTAGCTTGGCTGTGGCTCTAACGATTGCTGCTCTAGAACAACTATAGTCCCGAAAATTGTAGGAGTCCTTTTCGTACGCTATCACAACGGCGACTAAAGCTCACTTGGGGTAATACGAGCACTCTTGTCGCCTGACCCCTAATAAATAGCTGACAAAATTCTTAGCATTATTTATCCCGCCGAAATACACCTTCATTTTTGTTACTAGTCTCCAAATCGTGTCTACTATTCATTAGTCATATCCACGCTCAAGATAGGTAATTCATTCCAAACGCTACAAGATGGTGCGAACCGATTGTTCAACAGGGTCGACAACTACCGGTGATTCTTCGTCAATAGCTTCAGTTAATGATTTCTGGGGGGAGCTGCCATTGCCCTTTTTTCATAAAGCATTCATTTCCTATCACATGCTATTAATATGCAGACCAAAGCAATATCTGGGCAACTCTGGTGAGCTGGGGCGAGCACAGGGCGGCAACACCTCGTTCCCAAAGGAGAGCGAGCTCATCATAGTTTTCCATACGTTAGTGAGATATTATCGTCCACATTGCACTTCTGCTAGTTCTACTCGATTGAGCATTGGAAGAATGCGTCACCAAGCAGCCCTTGGCTGAAACGAATAAGGGGCCAGCTGGCAAGTGCAGCCGGGCCCAACGAGACTCAGAGCCCGAACTTGACTTGTGGGGGTTGGAATTGAGACATACACTCAACCAGGGTAATGCTTGTTGGTGTGATTTTTCATGTCTTTCGTTTCTAAGGACGCCAGGCCTCGGCGTACTACGAATGCCTTCGATAATACCTTGGCGTTACTCGTAACGCCAAGGCTGGTCCGAACTGTTTTAAAAGGTTACAAAACCTTTCGTAGCACTCGGAATGACAACGTACTTTCTCTCGTACCTGCGCGGTACGATTACATTAGTTCAATCCTAGCTCACGTATCGCTTGGCAATCCTTCTGCAGGTGCTAGTTTGGGCGCCACGCCCCTAAGTCTTAACTAAAGTGTACCTAAAACGTAAGTGGTTTTTAGGCTATGGACTCCCAGGTAGCTCGCCAAGCGTCACGTGAGTGCGTTCCTAGCTAGCAATATTCCCCTAGTGGATTGTAGACCCTTAGGCCGTAGGTCCCTCAATACAGAGCAGTATTCCCTCCACGCTCCGCCACCTGCCAGATTACAGTAGCATCGTTCCTGTCCTACAGAAGATGATGAAAAGAAGCGAAGATTCGGGGCGCACATAAAATATAATCCTTTTCTGAGATCACGGAGCACCGGCTTTCCCGCTCCGAGATGAAATTGCACCCTTCGGACAACTGATTCATAAACTGGCTATAGTAGCATTTCTCGATGCATAATATTCTCTGCGGTAATGGGCTCGTTAGCGGACGGTAGCAGTGATAAATTAGCTATATCAGTGACCCGTAACAGTGCTACCTAAAGCTGACCATGGGTTAATGGCGGTACGTGTAAATCGACACCAAGATAGTTGAATGACTGGCCCTGTAACAACCAACTACTCAGACAGCCAGGATCCCGCGGAGCAAAGGACCGCGATTGCAACTGATTCTATGAGGCAGGCAGCGTGGAGCGCTCCGAAGCTATAGATTCAATCTATCGTCACTAAAGTACGAGGTTAGGGCAGAAGCGCTGGAGCAGCAGCATTGGAGCATGGATTCGCTCAAGTTCAGGGGGCCTTATTTGAAACAGATGTCTACTGAGAGGCAGGTTTATAGCCCACCGCTTTGGAGGCCAGATTAGACCCCTCGTATCTCATGTGATGCTCATGGGTCAAGTAACCTCCTCACCAAAAGAGATGCAAACCTCGGAATTTTGAGGTGGCCCGTTATCGTCCGATAACAATAGATGCAGGCGGAACGAACCCGATGAGTACGTTTCCAAGTCGGAATTGACGGCGGAAATGTGTCGGGCAGCGAGTCTTGGCAGCGACCTATGAAACGCTAATTGAGCCTAATTATACGGGGGCGCCTTTAAGGTCTGGGGACTTATCTGCAGACATACTTTGCCATTACTTTGAATAAGTTAGACGCACGCAAAAAGAAGTTGCGCGGCAACGGGCTGTAAGTTGTCAGCTTAGATGCAGATCTCGATACCTGTTGTTGCAGGATACGAAGCACAAAGATTCGCGAAATTTAACGAACTCGGGGTGAAATTACTCTTCCCTTGTCGAGTCTGATCGTGATCGTACGGTAAAGGTGGAAGATCGACTGTCTCTAGGCGATGGCCAAATTACGACAGCCTCTTCTTCCCTTCACGTCAAAGCCACCATCGGACGGATCAACCAAACCACTAGACGCAAGCAATCATCAAAATTTGATCCCATCAAAGCCGCCTCCTTGGCTACCAACGAAATTATGGGACAATATTCTGGATCTCGTTGGAACGTTTGCACTAAAGAAGTTTCGACTGGTATGCCTGCAATGGTCCGTACTTGGTGCTGAGCGTCTCTACTCGACGGTTTACCTCACCCCCTACGAGAGAAGCTGGTCAGGACTCATTTCAATATCTACCTCGCGCCATGCATCGTCAGTTAAGAAGATAGTGTGGAACGCTCTTGAGCTTCCTGAGGAATGTCTGGACGGAGAAATATGGGCCATTCGATACCAAAACATGCTCCGGGGATTGAAACACCGGCAGATTCTCCATTTCCACCAGGTCTACGTAAAAGCCTACAGAGACCGCAAAGGCTTCTTGCGGTCCTCTAAAATCGAATCGATCCAAGGTGCTATAAACAACCTGCTAAATTGTCACGATATCATTCTGTCTGACGACTATGATCTACAGACCGGCTGCAAAGATTCCGATTTTAGAGTGGGAATTCTTAGTCACCCCGACCTTCTGAACAAGCTAACTACATGGGGGCTGCGCCCTCAGATGTGGGAGTGGACAAACGAACCCCGTGATTCTCTGCTTGCTGTTGGAGATATATTTCAGGCTCTGCAAGGTTGTTTTTTTATTACCAGTTTGACGATCGACTTTTGGGCTGCACATTGGAATGAAATACACGGGGCTATCAAATACGAGTATATTGGTAACCCATCTTCACGACGGTTTCTTCGCACAGAGCTCAAGTATCCTCATATTCACCAATTGGAATTCAAGGTACGCTTCTGTGAGTTCCTATGGAACTGGGTTAAAGAGCCCAGCATTCAATCAACTCTTAAGCATGTGATCGGCTGCACGGACTCGTTTCCGGAACTTCAAGAGCTTTCTTTCGCACCGTCATTCTCAGAGCCTGAACAGGGATATGTGGAATACTTTCAACTAAGATCTGAGAGCATCGATGATGATGGTGGTGGTGATGATGATATTGCTCTCAATACCCGTTTTAACCCTACAACTACTGCAACCGAACGCGTAACAAGAGATGCTTTGGCGCAAGGCTTGACAGATACCGTATTAAACTGCATGTACGCTGAGCTCCTCCCTACCACTTTTCCGCTGCCCAAATTGAGAACGGTTCGCTTTTCAAATGCGACACTGGATATGAGATTACTTCTTTATTGGCTAGCTAGCCATAAGCAACTTCCTAGTTCGAGTATTTCTATTCACCTACTGGAGACTACTATCTTTCACGGTCTTAACCCGGGACTATTCCTGGAAGCACTTGCGCAGCTCAACGTGTGAATATCTTACGATGCGCAAAACACATTTTACTTTCCTCTGGACACAACGTACGCTCGATACATTAGAATACCCCGCCTTGAATGTTATCTTATTAACGGGAGGAAAGTCACTGCTATTCGACGATGGTCACAAGATGCGCTCTATTCACCAGATATTGGACACATGCTTGAGCCCTTCCCGCAATTTCACGGGATGGCTAAGCAGTGCTATGCAGAATTCATCCATCGCCCAGACAACATCGAGCAGTTTGTGATCGATTATGCAAAGAAAGAGTATTTAACCGCGCAAACGATCTTCTATTCCTATCGTATTTCTCTAGATGAGCACAAGCATAGCACCTGGGAATGGGTCCGCGTGAGAGCATACTTACACAATCCGACCGACGCAGAAGAGCAAAAGCGGACTGCAGCTATTGTGGCGTTGAAGTTAATCCCTGGCCACCCAGATGACTTTGACTGGTATTATGATACTGAATCGGAGATCTTGGACGCTGCAATTAGTGGGATAGAAGAGCTTGTGCAGGATGCACAAGCAAAGCAGGAAATCGAAGATCAGGAGCTACTGCGACAATACGAAACGGAGCTCCTAGGACTTGATTTAATTGAGGCAGATACCTAACTAGAGTCATACGAGACAACAAGCACTACATTCGTCCCCATCGTCAAAAACTTTCTATCCTGCCTCAAGCATGTCAATAAATTTCAGATTCGTCCAAATTACATCAACAATCACCCAGATCCACGCACTCCAGAACACCTGCGTCTCCCATTAGCGTTATGGTGTTGTTTAGCCCGGAATTTTCGCACGAAGGCCAGTTCGTAACATCTTAGCAGCAATGTTGGGGGAGCTGACGGAACCTTAGCTGAAACATATATCAAGCTGTGAGGCAGGTTTAGCCTACTGCTAGAGGAGCTGGATTTTGGACCTCTTTGGGAATGAAATCTGACTCCTGATTGTAAATCTACTCCCTCACAAAATAAGGGATCAAGCCTCAAGTTACTGAGGTGTCTGATGCTAGATCGATCAGAATAGATGCATTGTACATCGCTCCTGCAGCGGCCGCACCAGGTCGAAATCATGGCGGATGCCCCTGGGATTACCTAACGTCGCGATTTCTCCACTGGGCTCTTCTCAGCCGTTGAGAACCGTGACCATCCCGACTTAGCTATTTCCTTTGCCTTGCCTTGGCCGAGGATGCTTCTATCAATATGCACACCCCACGTTCCACCTGACTACTTATCAATTACCTAGCTTCCAGCACCACTATCAATTTTCCAAGCATAGCATCGTCGTCACTTTAAAGTTGCCTCTACATTGATCTTTGAATGTTTTTCTACAGCTCATGGCCCGTGTTCGTTGGAAAGAGCTTCGCCTCTAGTGATACTTTCGAAGAGTGATCGACTGTTACGAACCAGGTCACAGATGAGGTCGCCGGGACAGGCGCCCCGCGTTCCATGGGACAGTTATTAGAAGGTTAGCCGATGGAGGACGAGGCTACATCACGTGACCCTGGGGGTGCTTTGGTGCATTACTGCAATGGAACAATGCAACAATGCAGCAATGCAGCAGGGATGGCATTATATATACACGCTCCTTCACCTAGATAGTACAGTTCGTAGTTAACTTCGTTAGCAATCCTATACCTACATTTTAGGATACAGTCCGACGATTGAATATTCCCTTTGTCATCCTGGTCAACACTCTTGTGTCCACTCTATCAAGGAACCCTACCTTGGTCAGAACTGCTTGCAGCTCGGATCATAACATCGACGTCTATCCGTTAAGGCGGCAATTTGGGAATATATTGTTGCTCGGAGTGGTGTCGGTAGTTCGGCGCGAGGAAGATGGATCTACTTAGTCTATCAGTAAGTGCGATCGCCATTCTAGATCTATCTGCCAAAGTTATTAAACATATCAACGGCGTAAGTGGGGCAAGAAAAGAACGGAAACGGCTTCGTGATGAGATACGTGCTTATGAAGCTATCCCCCAAGACCTTAAGGATGAGTTAGTGATTTGAGGTAAAGGTGCTTGGAAAGACACGCTTATAGCACTTGAAGCCCCTGGCGTACCTGTAGGTCGGCTGGAAGCTACTTTGAGTATTCTTAAAGCAGAGCTGCGGGCCTAGAGAAAAAGAATCAAACGCTATTCAAGACGCTATTTAAGGCCTTGAAATGGCCACTCGAAATTAGAACAGTGGACAAGTTTATTGACGCATTGGAACGCGTGAAGCGTCTTTTAGCTTTAGCCCTGATAAACAGTTGCCGAAATCTGATCCACGACATCCAAACGAGTTCCAAAGACAACGGCAGACACCTTATGGAATTAATGTAGGCTACTAGGGAAAATCCCACCAACAGTCAGATCCAGTTTGATGGGCTGAGAAACGGATTATTGCGTCTCTTTAGGTCATAAAGCGTCCTTCGAGATAACCTCAAGCGTTTAAATGAATTTCCGGAGAATAATGAAGGTGCTGAGAAGCATATAGCTACTTTAGAGTGGTTCACCCGGATTGCTTATACCTCTAAACAAAACTACTTCTTCAATCGACGCCAACAAGGGGCTGGCCAATGGCTTTTACAATTAGAAAAATACACATCGTGGCTACAAAAGAAGTGAACAAACATTATTCTGCTTAGAAGTTCTAGGTACTAAGAAGATAACTCTTATAATAATTGTGGTTGAGGATCTCTATGAGGGATTTGGCTAAGATCTAATAGTTAGAGTTACTCATATCTACTGCAACTTTCGAGAGCAAGAAGAGCAAAAGGTTGACAAAATATTCGCCAGCGTACTGAGATAATTAGTAGATGGATCGGCTCCCGTCCTAGACCCTCTAACGAAGCTTTACGCCGAACACGAAGCTGGAAAGACCCAGCTATATATGGACGAAGTTTTGGAGACTCTGTCTGCTGTGATTGCTATGTATTTAAGAGTTTCTGTCTTCATCGATGCCCTTGACGAATGCCGGAAATCGGATCGATTGAAAATTCTATTAGAGATTTCTAGTCTCTAGAAGAAGACCGGATGAAACTTCTTTGTAACATCTCGGCCGATCTCAGACGTCAAGAAGGAATTCAGAGAATATATATTATACGAATCACTCGAGATACGCGCCTCGGCCGAAGACATACGTCTCTATCTCAATAGACGCATAGATAGGTTACAAGTATCTATATTGGAGTGGCTATTACTTCAAGAAGAAATCAAGAGGGTAATTTGTGAAGCTGTGGATGGAATGTATGTACTTCATTGCCTCTGAAAATGGAGTGTAATCTACAAAGTTTCATATAGGTTCCTCTTAGTACAGCTATTCCTTCGCTTTCTAGAGCACTAAACTTCGGTGAGAGAGACAAAGAATTCGTTGAAATATTACCTGGAGGCATCAGGTGAAGGAACTAAAGATGGGAAACTAGGCTTATTAACTAGAGCATATCAGTATATAATGAATCGGATTAATAGGTAACAACGGAGACTTCGAGAGCTGGCTTATAACGCTCTTTACTGGATCGCATCAGCGAAGAGACTACTTTCGACATTAGAGGTGCAGTACGCCCTTACTGTAGTTCCAGGCGACTCGCAACTCGACGAGGATAATATTCGTGATTTAGATCTTACCGTCTCTGTCTATTGTGGAATAGTTACCGTCGATAAAAACAGTAAAATCATCCTTTTAGTACAATATAACACCTAAGAATTCTTTGAGAACTAGAAGGATTAGCCGAATAATGCGGATACTCATATCGCAAAGATTCATGCGCTCTCTATATATCTCTCTCTTTCAGCTCCTTTGAGAACGGGATTTACGAAAATGATTCAAAGTTTGGGGAATGACTACGACTAAATCCTCTCTACAGCTACGCAGCACAAAATTAGGGGTATCATGCTAATAAGTTGTAAATATGCTATTCAGAAATTCTCAACTCCTTGGAGTCCGAAGTTAAGGCGAGAGCTTTAAGTTAAGTACTGTTGGTAACTAAGTTATCTGGCTTGGACTATGGCTACAACTATTGCGACAAATTTCCCAAATCTATGATAGCCCTATATTTAGCAGTATACTTCGGGTCGAGCCTGCTGTGCAACTACTCCCAAATAGTCCTCGCCTTCGAAAGATAGCGACGGTCGAATACCGCTGTCTTATGCTGCTGAGAACGGGCACGACAGCGTCGTCAAGGCGTTACTTGGGGAGAGCGTAAGCACAGGGCTGAATGGTAGCACTTGTGCCGTAGATGGCCCTGCTACGGTCTGGAACAGCGGTGAGTGTGTTATGAAGCTATAGGTTGAGTCAAGTTCGCTCGAGGCTAAAATTAAGGATAAGGATGGATGACCACGACTTACTATACATGGCCATGGAACGATAGTGAAGCTACTGTTAGCAGTTGAGCCAACTCTAAGGACAACGGTGCGTGTACGCCGCTAGCGTGGGCTGCCATAAACCGTTACGAAGCAATCGTTGGGTTGCTTCTAGCCGCAAAGAAGGTGAAGGCTGATTCAACAACTCTAAACCGTGACTGGGGTAAGTTGCAATAGATATGCTGACTGAAATTTCAAAAGCACTAACCTCAAGCCACTACCAGCGAAACGCAGCAATCACATGGTTATTCGATGGATTAATTCTTTCCGGAAGCCGCTGTTATGGGCCGCCGAGCACGGCCATAAGATAATTGTGAAACAACTCCTGAAAAAGAGTGAAGTTGATCCTGACTTGAAAGATGGTAATGGATGTACACCACTATCATGGGCTCCCAAAAATGGCGATGAAGCAATCTTTAATCTCCTTTTAGAGATAGGCAGAGTCGATGTTGACTGCAAACCTACTAACTGGACTTGCAAAGGCATCACACCACTCATGCTCGCCGCAGCCGGTGGCCACCAAGCAACGGTGCATAAGCTGATTATGACTGGTAAAGCCGATATTGAATCAAGGACAAACGGGAACTTTCTGCTAGGTCGAACAATACTATCCGACGCTGCGAGCCTCGAGGTATCGCCACGAAGCGGTAGTAAGACTTTTGCTTAAAATGGGTAATGTGGCCGTTGACTCGAAGTCCACTGGGGAGTATGAGCTGGACTGGGCGCAAATAGTCTGGAATGCGGATAGCGATGAAACAGTTGGCGAATCCAATGATAGTGGGGACAACGTCACAGGCCGGACCCCGCTGTCCTAGGCTGCTGAAGGAGGGCACGATGGTGTTATTAAGCTGCTCCTTGGGAAGGGAGCAGACCCCAATTCGAAGGATAAAGGTGGGTTGACGCCGTTGTTTTGGGCTGCCAGAAATGGGCATGATGCAACAGTTAAGATGCTGCTCGCAACGCCAGGCGGCGAGGCTGACCACCAGTGGAACTAAGGTGGGCCGCACACCACTTTCATGGGCAGCCGAGAGAGGGCATGAGCAAGTCGTTAAACTACTATTCCGCTAAGGAGCTAGGGCCGACTCATGTGCTACGGGGATGTGTAATGTCGGCTGAACGACACTGTTGTACGCGGCTGAGCAAGGATACGAAACGGTTGTCAAATTGCTGCTGGAAAATCGGGTGTAGAGGTCAACTCTAAAGGCGGGGATGAACGGATGTAGCAATGTTATCCCGCTTGGTGTCGTTTGGTTAGACAGATGTGAACTCTAACATGATTAAAATTGGGAGAAGTACTGGCACTACCTTTGTTTCGATTCTTCAAGGTTCCAGAGAAATCGCTGGGAGAGGGAAGTTGATTAGTATGAGGATGTGTTGGAGCTTGCGCAGGGTCCAGCTCATCGTGGCAGCGAAATATTTACTGCGTTTTCGTCGTCAGGACGACAGGTTTCAGGCCGAAATAGTACGGATGTAGCGATTTGTCGAGCTAGTATAGCTAATGTATGCCTAATCAATAAGGATGGACCACCCAAACATCATGTGCGAGAGTGGGCAATGATACAAGTGGATTAGCGGGATAGGAGATAGCAGACGGAATCTTTCGCGGCCTTTTGGTAATGACTGCAAACAGTGCCTTCTTTCAGCCAGTTGTCAGGGCAAAAGTATCAGGCGTCTACCGAACCAAACACATATAGCACTAATGCACATTGACAGAAGCGTCACAAGTTATGTGATCCCGCCCGAACTATCATTCTTTCCCTCATCGTGGCCGACCTGAAAGCTGAGCTTGTCTTCAATTATCAGTCTGATAGACTGGGGAGAAAGAAATGCCATTATCGAACAACTTGCAACACGAAGGTCCTAGTGTACAGCAATCGCTCTGTCCAGGGTTGCTGCCTCATCCCGAGATCTTGAGGCTGCCTGAATGTCCCCATGTCACCGAGCCTGGGCGTCAGCTTTGAGGCGGTGTCGCTTGCGCCCGACATCATGTGTCGTGCACTGCCGTTTGTAATTTTCGAGGCAGCGAGGAATACAGATTACCTGTTAGAGTTTAGTTTATCGCTGTCGTGGCCTACATGAATCGTACAAAACGCTAAAAGCTGATCCCAGATCCCTGAAAGCGATCCCATCAAGTTTGGGCAATGCTGGAATTTAAGAAAGGACTGCATAACCGAAGTATGGGATAAAATGAGATCGTTGAAGCAATGGTGATATGGAGGGTTTTAGGTTTGTCTCGGAAGAGGAAAAAATAACCCCTTTGTCTTCAGCCTTAAGGTTGACTGCTGTTGAAGGCGGGGCTTCGTTAAGCTTAATTCTAGCCATGTAATAAAATGGCCTACTCGGGCCCAGGGCGGCGTGCTGCTCAGGGAGTGCTCGGCGAGCACTCAGTGATTGTCAGCTAACGGCCCAGTTGAAGCAGCCTGCGCCAACCCCCTAAGAGTTTTTGGTTCTCGAGTAATTTGGAAACGTACGAAAGTACAACATGACGACAACTGATCCTGGACACTCAATTTAGTCATTCAATTTCCTATCTAACGGCGCTTAAGTTGCACTTGAGGACATGACGCTGAAAGCGCATCCACATCGAGCACAAGAATTTAATCTTCGGTAACCTGTTCGAAAAGGAAGAACTTGCCTTGATGAAATTGAAGCCCAGCAGGACCAGAATCTCTCCTAGACAATGAACTTGATGCTAAAGACACTGATGCCTGCGATAATCTCACTTTACAAGCGTCATCTCCAACTGCTTTGTACTGGGACCTGCTTTCACATCACCGCAATATTCAGCTCCATCTTTCACGTCCCCCAACCCTTCCTTCTTCTTTTCATCAACCACTTGTGCATCATCAACCCTGACCACTCCTTCCAGAGCTGCAGCGTACTCCTCCCTTCGCTTCCTGTATTCAGGTAAAACGCATTAGCCCCTTGCCCTGCACTTCCGGACTTATAAGCAGAACAGAACGGGTCGTCGCAACATACCTGAAGTAGCGAGCGTCAAAATATCGTAAAACACAGGTCATGATAATGGCTGTTGTCAACAGAGCGGCACCAGCTTCCCAGCCATACTTGTCTGAACGATATCAGTCAGTGGACAGACCGCAAAGATTCAATGCAGGGTTGGGGCTTTCTCACAATGGGGAGCCTGCTTTGCCGGCCACATGAGGAAGTTAGACCATGCAGCAATGGCATAGTCCGCAGCGATAGTGGCGCCCACAATGAGCGCTCGTGCCTCTGGGTGATTTCGGATCCTTCGGCCTGGGTTAGCAATTGCTTACAGCCTTGGGACCAAATGTCCGCGGAGTGATGCAGACGACTCACATGTCTGCAAGCCACGAGAAGATCAACGGAGCTGTCCCCAGAACCATAAAATTGATGAAATAGCTGGCGTAAGCTGCTGGTAGACTAACGGTCTCAGGATGAGATGTCCAAACGCTCATGGTTATCGCAGGGATCAGGCCGATAGTAAGCTGAACTATGATCAGCGGCCAGCGGGTCTGTAGATGATCCGAAAGAAACGCCCAAAACCAGACGAACACCACTTGTATGGCACTTCCACCGATAGGAATTGCGTTCACTTTGGCAATGGTCCACGTCTTTGTCCCATCTGCGTTCTTCAGACTTCTGAGAAAGAGCCCAAAGTAAGTCCAGCCCTGATTCCCAATGACTGCAAATATATAGGATGGCGACACAGTACGTTCCGTAGGAGAAAGAGGTTCGTCTAATAGAACGTCAGCACTGTACGTCAGCATTGCCGAGGAGAAAATAGCTTGTTCCACTCGCAAGAGGCTTCATACCTAGCGCCCGCCCAAGTTACTGACTTGGGCTCTGCACGACCGTGGCGAGTAAGTCTGTGAAGCGCAATCTCAGCATGATCTTTCTTAAACCATACAGCTCTCGGATTTGGACGATTTGGGTAATCTGGAAGCATGAAAATTCCAGCAAAGCCCCAAACCACAGTGATGATGGAGTTGATTATGAACAGCCACCTGATGGTTGTCAGGTTTACCATGTCAGCTAGATCACAGATGATCGATTAATACAAAGGAGATACACACCTCCATCCAGGAATGCCGCTACTCCCATCCAGAGTGCTGCTGATCGCTGCTTGGATAGCGCCAGACATCATGCTACCTACCGCTTGGCAAGAATGGTAGAAGCCCATCCGTTTCGCAAGCTCAAGCGGAGTGTACCAATGCACTATCGAATCCACGTCAACTCGGGACCAGCATTGAACAGCAGCATCCAGGCGTACTCACTAAGAATTGTCATCATGCCAGGCCAGGCACTGCTCTCACAGAGACCAAGGAACGTGCGAATGGCATAGACCTGCTTTGCATCCTTGGTTACGGCCAAAAGTCCAGTGAGGACGCCCCATGTAATTTCTAGCCCGGAGAGCCAAAAACTTGGGCGGACGTATCTAAGAATGATCTGAGAAGGGACCAGCATGATGCAATACCCTACATTGACGTAAGTGGTGAAGCTATATTTTTTAACTTAGCATGCACAATTCTCTCAGTGGCTGTTGAGGAAGTCAACATACTAGTTGAGCTCATTGCCGTAGAGATGAAGATCCTCTTTCATACCGGATACATATGCGTTCTTGATATTCATTTGATCTAGAAACCTGGTAAAGCTCGACCATTAGAGCGGACTCAAGGGTATGTCGCATAGAAAGAGGTGATCGCTTGATGACTGCCACACTAAAGTCAGTGACCCGTAGAAGGAGTAACGATAAGCGGGAAGCAACATACCCTGTGAAATGCAGCTAAACATCAACAAGAATGTATCCAGACGTCTGACTACACCACGTTCCGCAGGGCTGTAACCACCTGGAGCCACTTTGGCATTCCGTGAGAAGCGAAGCGACATCATTGTTTTGGGAGGAAGAATTCAAGCTGTAGTCCATCCCTAGTAATGGTGAATTTACAAGACATATGTACTTAGTATCCAGGAATCTTGTATCTTTTCAGGCATTGCTGTGGTCTCCAGACTTCGAAAGCTTTAAGGATAATTCAGATATACTAGTCAAAGTCTAATGATTGGAAAAGCATCGCTAATTGGAGCGGACGACGCCGCCAGGTGAGCGGAGGTAGGGAATGACTCTGAGGAGCGAATCGGCGGAGCGAACGGAAATGCGAGCGAATGCCAAGGATGCGATTTGATGCCAAGAGGGTCGATTTTTGGCGTGTTTTCACCCACAATTCCATCTCTTGCCATAAATAGTTGTAAAATCGCATTAATTGTATCGAATCACTCACCGACCTCGCCGTCGCCTTATAAAATAATTTATATAGCCTTTTTTTAGTGTTTTAATAACTCCTCCTCTTTTACGTGCTAAAATAACTAATATTACGTAATAGACTACGCTAGTTAGGTGCGTTAAGCATTATCGAGGTATTCTTAAGCGCCACGTTATTGCGCAACCGCCTTATTAGCGTTAGGAACCTACTATCGGAGAGGTCTTTAATAATAGAAAGGATGCGGAGGTTCGCTTATAATTATAGGCGCTCATCGTAGGGTTTAATATTGTTTATAAAGGCGGTAGATCCTCTAAGGTTCTAGGAGGCCTTTATCGGTGTATATACTACGGTAAGGAGTCGAGGAATAACTATAGGCTCGAGGATCGAGTAACGTATAATCCTAAGGGTAAAATTACCTTATTACGTAAGCGTAAGAGTACTAAAGTATACCTAACTAACTACGATTAGCGCGTTAACCTTATATTTATTATAATCGATAAAAAGGATAAGTCTTAGGGACGATAATAGACCTTTACGAAGGTCTTACTTACTTATATAGGTTATTCCTTAACCGCTAACCCTTTTGCCGCCTATCTAAATTACCGTAAAAGGCTTACGGAGTAGAAGGACTTAATTATAAAGGCTATAGCTTATCGTAGAGCTAAAGTCGTGTATTCTAGCTTAAGGAGGATTATAGAGAGTAAGGAATTCGCCCTCTACCTATTCGTTAAGGAGTATTATAATATAATACGTAAAAAGCCTATAGATAAGGATAATAATAAATTAATTATTAGTCTAGTTTATAAGATTTAAGAGAGTAATTAGTACTACGAATTTAGGAGTAAGGTTTATAAGGATAAGGAGGGTAAGGTCGTCGGTAGGAAACTTATTTAAGTATAGTTTACGTACCTAAAATTAATATCCTATATAAAGAAGTTTATTAGCGACTTTATTATTTATATTAACGGTACCTTTAATACTAATAAATTAAAGATACTACTCCTTATCGCTATCGATTAATTAAATAGTAGTAAAACCTTCTCTATAGCCTTTTCCTAGTGTCCTAAAGAGGATAAGGCGTTATACACCTTTTTTTAGTAGTACCTTAAGGATTACTATTTTAACGTACTAGGAGAACCTTCCTACGCTCCTCTACGAGTCCTTATAAGTAACTAAAACGTAGGCATTACGGTATTAGCCCGAAAGCTTTTTCCGGATATAAAGTACTAGTTTTATAACTAGTACGCTATTTAGGTATATTACGGGTTAAACCCGTATAAAGCTCTAGAGTACGCCCTAGAGCGATTACTCGTAGTGTACCTTTAGGCTATATAACTATATAGCCGAAACTACGTGATTCCTCTCTATCGATTATCTCCTAGGTAACTATACTAATCTACTATAGGAGAGGCTAGGGAGTATTTCCTTTATTCGTATAGTAGATAGATTTTCTCTTTTCTTTTTTCTCCTTAGCTTAAGAATCCTCGTTATACGATAGTTAGACGAATTACTCTAAATTCCTAGCTAAACCCTTATATTATTCTTAAGCTTTCTATCGTACGTAGCGAAAGAGTATCGCGTACGAAATAGATAACGAATAGTAACTAACGGAAACCGCTCTAGCGTAGGCGGTAGAGCTATACTAGCTCTTATAGGCTTAAAACTAAAGGATAATAGTACTCGAGAATTAACTCGGCTAATAGAATAGAGTACGAGCTCGTACGCTTAAAGTAACGACTTCTACGACGGCGAGCGCTATATAGGAATCCGACTCTATACGACGAAAGGCTAAGCTCCCCGAGCTAGCTAAATTTAATAGAAAAAGATTAGAGTTTCGGTCGTAGCTTACCTAAGCTCGAGCTAAGTTAGCGGTCGATAAGTAAGAAGAAACCGAAGTCGTACGATTTTAGTATTTCTATAGTAGACTAAGGAGCTACGTTCTTACCTAGGTTAGCTCGTAGGTTAATTCCGTATAATTAACCCTCGAAATAAATATAGAAGGACTTATTAGTTAATTAAAGGCGGCGTACGAGGACGTCGACGCCGTAGAGAGAGTATTACGGAAACTTTCTTAGCTAAAGTAGGATAGAAAGTCCTTTAGCGTATTTCTCGCCGAGTTTAATCGTACGCTACTCGAGGCCGGCGGACTAGACTAGGCCGACTCGATAAAGAAGACGTTTATATTAAACTACCTTTCGTACGACCTAAAGAGCGCCCTCGTTATAACGCTAATTCTATTAATCTATAGGGAGTACTATATTCTCCTCTATACGGTTAGTATAAACTTAGAGGCTCTTCGATAGAAGAAAGCTAGAGAGAAGATATCTAGGAGTAATCTATTCGATACTACTAGTCGTACGAAAGATAAGATAGATTAGACGCCGACGGTATAAGCTATAGCGTTCTTAGCGGGACTATAGAGAGCTTTATAGGTATCGTAAACGATACTTAACTAAAGAAAGGAGCTTAGGGCGTATCTTCGTTACGACTAACGGAGTTACTTTATCGTTAAATATCTTCTTCTTCCCGTCGTACGACCTAAGACGAAGAAGAGAATAGTAGTACTAGAGACTATAGACGATAATAAGGAATCGTTAAAAGAGTAGCTCCTACTAGAAGTCGTCGGTAGGAGCGTACGAAGAAGACGAAGAAGAAATAGAAGGCTTTTCGGCTCTCGATAGACGACTAATTCTTTATAGTTTTATTACTTTTAGATAAATAATATTATATATCGGCTCTAATCGATTCTAGTTATTTATCGTACGATTTAATTAACTCTCGCTTCGCTTCTCGCTATTCTTTCGAGCGTATCTCTATTACTCCTTATTCGATCTTCGAATTCGACTCCTTCGTACGATCTAAAATCTTCGAAGTAGCGAAGGTTAAAGTCGAGATCGATAGCTATAAGGAAATAGCGTTCTTCTATATTATTTCGAACTTAGCGTACGAAATTATTCTTAGCCTACTCTAGATAAAGAAGAACGACGTACGTCTTAGCGCCGCGAACGACTCTCTCTTAATAGGCTATTCCGATTTAAAGGTCTATAATATACTACGAAAACTACGTACGCTCTTAGACTATAGCTAGGTTTCCGTCGTAGTATTCGGTCTACTAGCTTAGAGAAGTAAGAAGCGTATAGAGACCTAGGTATTCTCGACGATAATAGCGGATATTAAAAAAGTACTTAGAGTAAAGACGCCTACTAATTCGCGTACGAAGCTTCCTTAATAGTACTACTATTTCTTAGACGTCTTTAGTCGTACGAAAGTAGAGAAGTTACTTCCTTTACGAGGGAAGGAGATCGACTACGCGATCGACCTCGAACTAAAAGACGAAAAGAAACCTTAAGTCCCGTAGGGCCCGCTATATAATATATCTCGAGACGAATTCTTAGTACTACGGCGTACGCTTATTAAACTCCTCGATAAAAGATTTATTAGAGTAAGTAACTCGTTAGCGGCGGCCCTAGTTTTCTTCGTACGAAAGCTAGGAGGAGGATTACGATTCTATATTAACTATCGAGGGCTAAATAAGCTAACGAAGAAGGATTAATACTTATTACTATTAATCTACGAGACTCTACGGAATATCGAATAAGTAAAGTAGTATATAAAGCTCGATATTATCGCGGCCTTTTATAAAATTCGAATTATAGAAGGAGATAAGTAGATAATAGTATTCTATATAAGATATAGTCTTTTCGAATAGCTAGTTATTTCTTTTAGACTTACTAACGCGCCTAGTACGTTCTAGAAGTATATTAACTAGGCCTTATAAGATTACCTTAACGTTTTCTACTCGACGTACGTAGACGATATCTTAATTTATTCTTCGAGAATATAACGAGAGTATTAAAACTACGTACGAAAAGTCCTAAGTCGACTCCGCGAAGTAAGGCTTTAAGTCGATATCGATAAATACGAGTTCGAAGTTAAGTCGGTAAAGTACCTAGGATTTATTATCGACGCGGAATAAGGCGTACGAATAGACCTAGTAAAGGTTACTATAATCTAAGAATAATAAGCTTCTAAGTCTATTAAAGGCGTCTAGAGTTTTATCGATTTTATAAACTTCTACCGAAAGTTTATTAAGAGTTTCTCGAAGATAATTCTATCGATTATAAAACTCGTACGAAAGAATTCGACTTTCTATTAGAATTCGGAAGCCGATATAGCGTTCGTACGACTAAAGAAGATATTTATAATAGCTCCGATCCTCGCTCTATTTAACTATATAAAAGAAACGTTTCTAGAAGTTAATACTTCTAAATAGTATATAGGTAGTACCTTATTCTAGGTAGGAGAAGACGGTTTCGTACGACTCTATATATTCTTTTTAAAAAAGAACTTATCCGCGGAATATAACTATAAAATATACGATAAAGAAATATTAACTATTATATATTATCTTAAAGAATAGAACGCTAAGTTAAGGAGTATAGATAAGTTCGAGATACGATTAGATTATAAGAATCTAGAATACTTTATAATTATACGAAAGCTTACGAAGAAGTAAATACGATAGTTTCTTATCTTCTTACGATATAACTTTATAATCTTCTACCTTAAAGGAAAGAATAACGTATAAGTCGACGCGCTATCGCGAAGAGAATAAGATATACCGAAAGAAGA